AACCCAGAACTCAGAACCCGGAACCCAGAAGCCCAGCTGCACGCAGCTCTTGGGCGTCGCCTGGTGGATACGCGGGGTTGCGCCGGACCGCGCCGCTTCCGGGAACCTGGGCGGGGCCGAATGCGTGGGGGCGGGCCTTAACGGCGGAAGGGGCGGGGCATGATGGGCAAAGGGGGCGGGGCCGAGGGAGCCTGGAGATCGCTCTGTGGCGCGTGCGCGGACCGCAGACCCCAAGGGAGAAGGGGAGGCCGGCGCCGTGCAGTCTCCGGGGCTGCGAGCCCCGAACCCGCGTGCGGAGGGGGAGACAAGCACGGGAGCCGCGCGTGCTCCGAGCCCCGGACGCGCGCGTCCCAGTGCCGCCCGCCGCCCTTGAAGCTCGACCCGCGGGTTAGCGGGGGCCGGGCTGTGTTCTCGGGGCCGCAGCTGCGCCCCGGGGCTTTTCCCGCCCCACCGGACGCGGGCTCCTCTGGGCCGCCCTGTGCGGGTGCCCGCGGCCGCCCCCGGCTTTAGGCCCACCGGAGAAGCCGGGGCGCACACAGCAAGTGCCCTTTCCTCTTCCTGTTCCCCGCTGACGGGAAGTCAGGGCGCGAGACAACTCTGGGGCCGGCTGAGAGGGGCACCTGCACCGAGGACTGAGCTGCGCCCTTTGTGGGGGCGCGGGTGGGGGTGGGGCAGGGTCTGGCCGGGTAGTTGGGGCTGCCCTTGAGCTCACTACGTAGCGCAGGCTGGCCTCAACTCTGGGCAGCGCTCCTGCTTCAGTGTTCGCCAAGCCCCGCTAAGATCTGCATTAATTATCTGAAATGTCACGTTGGGAGCGTTTTCTTTGTTGTGGTCGTGGTAAAACACACATAACCACTATTTTCGCCCTTCTTAAGTGTACAGTTATTTGGCGTTAACTATATTCATTGTGGTGGGCAACCATCGCTCCATCCATTTCCAGAAGCTTGGCCTCTAAATGCTCGGAAACTCCCCATCTGTTGCTGTTACCTCCCCAAGCTTTCCGGGCCCTTCTGTTCCCGTCCCTGCCCACTCCCTATCTTAGTGGCTCATCCTGCCCCAGGTGCCCCCTGTGTGGACCCAGGCAGTGCTTATCCTTTGTGGCTGGCTTATTTAGCTACAGCCGGTCCTCAGGCTGGGTACTAACGTGTCAGAATCCACTGCTTTTATTTATCTTTACTCCCCCCCCCCCCCCCCGTTCGGGACAGAGATGGAACCCAGGCAGCTAAGCAAGTGTTCTACCACTGAACTGCATTCCCCAACCCTTTTTATTTAATTTTTGAGACAAGGTCTCACTAAATTGTCCAGGATGGGCTTGAACTTGTGATCCTTCTGCCTCAGTCTTCTGAAAAGTTAAGATTTTTGTCTTTTTTCTGGCCAAATAATGTTCCATTGCATGTACATGTGACACATGGTCATTCATTCGCCTTTCATAGACTTGGGTTACGCCCACTATTTGGCTATTATGAATGTTGCTGCTCTGAACATGTGTGCTGTTTATCTGCCTTTCAATATTTTTCTAATTTCTTTGTAGTCAGCAATGCAATTACTGCAGTCTCACATGGTAATTCTGTGTCCATTATTATTGTTGTTACTGTTTTGCAGTACTGGGAAGTGAACCCAGGGCCTTCCCAGTAATCCCTAGGACCTTTTAAAATTTTTATTTTTTTGATACTGGGGATCGAACTCACGACCTTGCACTTGCCAGGCAGGTCCTTATGTCACTGAGCTAAATCCCCCGCGCCCCAAAATTTTAAATTTTGAGGTGGTCTCACTGACCACATTAAGTTCCCTGCTGGGCTCAAAGTTGAGATCTTCCTCAGCTTCCAGAGAGCTGGGTTATAGGTGGATGGCCCTGCACACCAACAGCTGTGCTTAATGTTTTGAGGGACTATCATTCTGTTTTCCAGAGTCTGTTATCATGTTACACTCCTGTCCTCACACTTCTCTGTCTCTCTGTCTCTGTCTCTTTGTCTCTCTCTCTGTAGGGATTGAATTTTGCACTAAGGATCCCACTAACTTGCTAAATTCCTTAGGCTGGTTTCACTCAAATCTGCGATCCTCCTGTCTCAGCCTCCCAAGTACTGAGTTCACAGGTATGTGCCACTTTTCCCAGCATCTTTTTTTTTTTTTTTTCTTTTTGCGCTAGAGGTGGAGCCCAGGTCTTGAACCTGCTGAATCCATCCATCGCTGTACTCCAGCTCCAGCCCATGGGGGTTTTGATTTACATTTCCCTAATCATCCATGATGTGAGCATCTTTTTCTTCCGTCTGATGGGTGGCCTTCTGGTCGGTTGGTGATGTCCTTTGAAGCACAATGGGTACTTGTTTCCCCGTAGGCTATAACCCATTACTGCTTGATTCACTTTCTTGTTCCAAATTCTTTCAGCCTTGGCCATTGAGAGATCTTTCAGGTGGTCAATTTATATTAATATTACGTTATTTTGAGACAGGGTCTCATAATGTTGCCCAGGCTGGCCTTGAACTCACAGTGATCCTCCTGCCTCAGCTCTTGAGTGCTGAGATCACAGAGGTATGCCACCATGCCCAGCTCTACTTTTATTTTCTGCTTTCCTGTATGCTGCTCTTCTGGTTTCTTGCTCATTTCCTGTGTTCTATTAGATTCATCAATTCTATTTTTTTTTGTTCCTTCACGGGTGTGGAAATTAGACAAGCTTGTTTGAGGCAGCTTGAGGCCTCACTACGTAGTCTAGGCTGGCCTCAAACTCAAAAGTGATCCTCCTGCCTCGGCCTCCCAAGTGCTCGGATTACTGGTGGGTGCCACCATGCGTGGCACAATTTACTACTTTTAGTGTTTAACTTAAAATGTCTACCCTTTTGATGGAGGCTGGGGAGACAGGGTGCCACAAGCGGCCGCTGGGGGTGCAGGAGTCCCCATCTGTGGTGGTCTGGGGCAGCTGTCAGGTGCCACGTAGACTGTGTTGGGCCCAGATCAACCTCAGCCATTGGTATGGGGCCGGGAGTGGGATCTGGTGCTGGGATGCGCCCTTGTGTGGGGGTCTGGGCTGGGCTGCCTGTCTGCCCTTCTAGGAGAGGACAGCAAGCCTGGAGATGCAGGGCTTCACGGGGGCCTGGCTCCCAAGCTGACTCCAGGCACCCATGCCTCATGGGGCCTCAGTGTGAATGGAGAGCAGGGAGGGTGTGTAAATCTAGAGCACACTGGAGGCTCACAGCTGGCTCACACGTGGGCAGAGGCAGGGCACACAAGTCCCCATGAGCCCCACCCTTGGCATTTGTCATGGTGCCTGGCAGCAGCCATCAAGCCTTCCCTTCCAGCTCATCACTAGTGACAGGTGCCACAAGCCCAGGGGTGCCTGCTATGGATAAGCATTGCAGGGTGAATCCCTGACACCCTATCTCATCACAGTTTGGGCCCCCAGAAGCCAACTGAGATGGACTTTGGTACAGGGGCTGTATGCAAGGCTCACACCTGTGACAGGAAGCAGTATCCTAGCAGGAAATTCTGGTGTGAGCTCCTATAAGGGTGAACCCTGAGTGTTCTGAGTGAAGCAGATTCAAAAGCAGAAACGTCCAGCACCCCAGAGACAAGAGTGGAAAGTGGGTGTCAGGGTAGGAGAGGTGGAGGGAGGGGGCCTTGTGGGTGGCCTCTGGGATCCCAGCTCTGATAAGCTGTGAGGCCACCCACCTGTGAGGATCTCCAGTGACTCACAGGCCAGCGGTCTCATCCACAGCTGCAGGTGCTGTGGGGCCTGGCTGTCCAGGGCCGCTGGGACACATTTGTCTCTCCAGGCCTGAGTCTGGGTGCCCTGGGGGAAGGAGTTGGGTGTGGGTGGCTTTCTGCCTTGCACCTTGCCTGAGAGGCTGTCCCACCTGCATCACCACAGATCTTGGCCTCAGCAGGTGGCCCCGGCATGCACGGGGACGTCCTCAAGCTTGGCTGGCAGCAGTGTGTAGTGTGCCCCACCTTCCAGACCCCTAGCAGGCGGCCATGGGGCGGGATAACGAGGCAGAGGCTGTCCAAGGGTTTGCCATGGCAGGGGACCCCTCAGCCCATGATGACTCAGAGCTGTAACCAGAAACAGCTACTCTCTTCCTCTTCCACTTCCTTCTTTTTTTAATTCCTCGGGGTCTTCACACTGAATTATGTCCCATCCTTTTTTGTTACTATTTTTTATTTTGAAATGGCCTTAAATCGCCCCAGCTGTGCTTGAACTTGTGCTTCTCCTGTCTCAGCCTCCCAAAATTTTGGGATTACAGGCGTGACCACTACACCCTACTTATAACTGTAAGCTTCTGAGCGCTGTGGCCAGGCTAGCAGCTCTTATGCCCACTGCCTGGGTGGGGACAGTGAGGACCTGAGCTGCTGGGATTCAGTGCCACTGCCCAGTGCCCATCTGAGAAGGGAGCCCACACATGCCTGTGGGCTCAGGAGGCTATGCATTTGGGGTGCTGCCCTCTGGCCAGCCCAGGCCCCCCTCCTATAGGAGCTAACTCTGCTGTTCTGAGCCAGAGGGAGGTCAGGTTTCAGTGAGAGACCCCAAAATAGCCCTCAGCCACCCGCTGGAAGCCTTGCCACGGGTCCATCCATTCCACCACCCTCAGCCCTGGCGGGTGTCTCATGCCTCTGCTGTGGCTCTTGTGGCCCAGTCACACAGCCACAAGGGGTGGCTTTAGGCACCAGGGAGTGGCATTGGGTTCCTGGGGAAGCAGCAGCAATCAGGTGGCCAGGGTGGCCTTCCTGGATAGGGCTTGCCAAGGACTGTGGCCCGGGACGAGGTCCTGTGGCAGGACAGGGAAGGTGACAGGCTTGTGTGGGAAGAGGGACATTACTTGAGCCCTCACTTGCCTTGAAGTTGGTCCTTGGTGCTCACCTTTAAGGTGGGGGATGCCTGAGCCACGCAGAGCAGGAGAATCCCAAGGAAGGGCTGAGCCCGAGCCCAAATAGGGCCACAGGATTTCCCACTCCTACAAGGCTTTTGGAATCCAAACCCCGGGGACACCAGGCAGCTGTGTCCAGCTAAAATGCAGCTGCCAGTGGGTGCCAGGTTCGTGGCCTGCAGCAGGCCTGGTATCCCACCTGCCCTGCCCCCAGCCAGAGCCATGGTGAGGCTGCTCAGCACCCAGAGCACAAAGCTAGGGGACTCAGGACAGAGTGGGCAGCCCCAGTGAGTGGGTGCAGGCTCTCCTGCAGACAGATCGCCTGTTGGCAGAGCACAGCAAGATGGACGTAAGGGGCTGAGACTTTAGTTCAGTGGCGTAAATGCCTGCTTGGCAAACATGAGGTTATGAGTTCAATCCCCACTACCAAAAAAAAAAAAAAAAAAAAAAAAGGTGTTTGTAGGAGTCTTCAAGATGTTTGACAAGGAGGGCAATGGGGAGGTGAAGACGGGAGCTGGAGCAGTATCAACCTCACCAGGAGTAAGATGGCCTCCATGGCCAAGGACTCAGACGAGACAGTGTAAGCAGGGCAGGGTGGGCTGGCCAGTGTGTGTGCAGGGCAGGGGATGGGCCCTCCCTTGAACCCTGGGGCCAAGACTCCCTGCAGACAAGGCTCTTCAGCTGTGTCAGCTTCCTGGCCCCATAGAGATTGATCCAGAGAAGACCTAGAAGAGGGCAAGCTCAGGGCTAGTTTCTGAGTTTTCCACAATGAGAGCAAGTGTTACATCTACTGGAACACGCTTGTGTGTGTGTGTGTGGGGGGGGCAGTTGAGAGATACAGGGCTTCAGGGTGAGCCCCTCAAGGTGGAGGCTGAGCAGATGATTAAGGAGGCCAATGGGGCGGGACCATTGACCCTGAGGGTGAGGGGCAACCCAGGAGTGAGTGGAGGTGCTGACTTGCCCCTCTGTCCACAGGTTGTGGCCGTGATGACCGGAGAGTCCTTCAAGCTGGTCTAGTGGGAACAGCTGCCACAGCCATGGGATGCCTGCCTGGGAAGGCTGCCACCGCCCCGCCCCTGCTCAGTGTGAAGTAAGGCTGCAGCCTGACTTCTCTTTGCTCCCTAGCCTTGGAGGGCTGAGGGTCAGAAGCAGTCCTCAGAAAGCGCCTGGCACTTCTGCTGCCATGCCTGACCCCTCCCAACACCCAGATCTGGGCTCTGCACCCTTGACCTAAGGTTGCTGGGACCATGTGCTTGCCCACCTATCTGTACTCTTTAGGGTCCCCCAAACCATCCCACACAGGCAATGTCCACTCAGACATAAACTTTATTCTCTCTTCAAAGAGCTGCCTCCAAGCTCCTTGACTGAGGCACACAGTGCCTCCTCCAGGCTGAGGCCAGGGGCTGGGGTGGAGAGTGGCAGCTTGCCTGGGGCGGCCAGCACAGGGCTGGTGGCTGGCCGACTGGCCAGCATTACATAGCAATGAGGCCAGGCCTGTAGCAATGTGCTGAACGGAGGCCTCCCCAGGGAAAGGATGGAGGCAGGCTGGGGTTCCATGGCTCCAAGAGAACACTCTTAGTCCCTTTAAGGGGCACTGGGACCTGGCTCCTGCGGCCTTGGTGTGCTCCCTGGACCCGAGGGCCCTGGAAGGAGACCAGGTTTTGGGGAAGCAGCCAGCTCTTCCTCTCTGGGCTTTGTCATTTTGATGGCCTCGTCGTAGGAAGGTGGCAGCTCCGGGGTGGATAGGCTATAGGCCGGTGGGCTCAGGAAGTCAGGGTCCAGCTCCCCAAAGTGCAGGGGCAGCTGCATACCCAAGGGATACTGCACGGAGCTGTAGGCTGCAGAGTACAAGGGCTCTGTGTGGGCTGCTGGAGACTCACTCCGACAGGGTCCCTCCCTGGTCCGCCCTCCAGTAGCCAGACACTCACAGGTCACAGTGCTGTGCACAGGGCTGTCACTGTCCACAGGGGTGGCTGTTAAATTGCAGGGCTGCCACGCGGGGGACAGGCGTGTCTGCGTGTTCACCTGCTTCCGGAGGCAGCAGAACCGGACGCAGCTGGCAGTGATCCCGCACAGCAGCAGCAGCAGGACGGTGAGCAAGATAAGCCTGGTGAGGAGGAAGGTGCCCCACCGCTGCACTCACCCCGCCCATTGGGCACCTGCACCCTCGGCCAGTCACAGCCGCTGCCCAGACACCCACACAGGACAACACGCAGATGAAGAGGAGAGCAGGGCACTCTTCGCGCCAGACGCCTCCCTGGCGGGAGCCTGGCCTGTGCAGCTGTGCGGCCTGGCCGGGCGGCCTTGGGCTCACTCCCAGGACACGCTGTCCCCAGCCGACCGTGCCTTCTGCTGTGATCGGCCTCGCTCCCGGCTGCCAGGGCCCAGTGCTCCCACCAGCGGCCGGGATTGGGGGCAGCAGGCAGCCGGGGTCGCCGGGTGAACCGTCGGGCCGGCGCGTGCGCGGCCTCCACTTACCCCACGTGCCACAGGCTACTCCAGCGGGCCTGGGGCGGGCACCTGCGGGGACCGGGCAGCTGCAGCGGGCGGCGCGGCTGGCGGCCCCACCCCCACCCCGCCTGACTTACTGGTCCGAGGGGTCGCAGCCGCCGTCCGTCGAGCCCGGCACCACCTGTGGGGACACGGATGAGCCCAGGCGGGGCGGAGCCGCGCGCAGGCTGGACCCGTGCACTCGACCCTGCGCGCGCAGGCTCTGACCCACCTGAGGCAGCCGCAGGAGTGGCAGGAGCAGCAGCAGGAGCCCCGCCAGCGGCCCCGAGGCCATGCTCCGCGCGACAGAACCACCAAGCCAGGCGCGCGCGCGCGCCTTTATATGGCTCCGCCCCCGCCCGCAGAGGTCCCGCCCAGACCACGCCCATCGCCGCTCAGGAAACCCAGAGCAGGCGTTCCTCAGGCCGGCCCCGCCCACGGCGGGTGGTGTCCCTGGGAGAGCCGGCCCCCGCATCCTGTGAACCACGCCCCTGGGCCTGAGGCTCCGCCCACACCCCCCTCCCTTCTCTGCGTGATCCCGGCGTCTCGCACCTGGCTGGGCGTGGCCTGCTGCAACCCCGCCCCAGCTCGCTCGGAAAGCTGTGCCCGAGCTGCACTGGGCCTTGTCTCGCAGAACACGCTGTTCATCCTCACACCCCGCAATCCCGGCAAATGGGGTGGGGCTTTTCTCCCTCTCCAGTCGGGGTGGTCTGAAGCTCCAGTGCAGACTGCTTTCCAGCAACATGGCCTTGAAGCCCTGGTCCGAGCCGAGCCGTCAGCGTTCGGCCTGGACCCTCTGGGTGAGGATCTGGACTCCTGACCCCCTCTCACCGGGCTGCTCTGCGCTCTTCTTGTGCAGCAGCACTCGCCCCACCATGTCTTCCCTTTTGGTGCTCAGCACGCGGACACCTAGAGGGGAAATGACCAGGGCCTCAGGGCTCTACCCACAGCTGTCCTGTACTTGCTGGGTCAATGCTCTGCCTCCAGGGCCCCAGCCTGCTAGCCCAGTCCCAGCTAGGCCCTGGCTCCTCTCTTCCCCGCCTCGCCTTGGCTGTGCTTGGGACTGGACTCCAGGACCCTGGCAGTCTCCATGAGCTTGGTCTTAGCCAGGGAGCTGCTGCCTCTCCTCCCTGCTGGTCTGCCACCTCCAGGGTGGGACAGAAATCTTCAGATAGTGCTCCAGGGTTTTTGCCTTTGGCTGGTAAGAGGGAAGGAGCTTCCAGGTACCTCGAGGAGCACCAGAAGTGCCAGGGCAGCACACAGGCGCCTCTCCCCTCTGCTCCCCTGGCCTGGAAGAGCACATGCCCCAGATGCAGGGTGGCCTTGAGTCGGGTCAGGCAGATGGGCACTGTGGGGAATTGGGGAACAAGAGACTAGGGAGGGTTGGGGTACAGGAGCTGCTTGTGGTTGGGTGCATATGGCTCCTTGGAGGGGGGGTCAGTGCAGAACCCAGACTTTCCCAGATGGGTGGACACTCATACTCACACACTGGGCTGACCTGGCCCTGGCTGGGTACCTAGGGCAGAAATGGTGAACTGGCCCTAACACCTGCTCAGCCTTTTCCTGGGGTCATCAGGAGGCGCTGGGGCCTGGGCTCAGAGTCCCCGTCCCTTCCCCCCATCTTCACGACTCTCCAGGACTGCTTCAGTCTCCAATATAGCCCTGCACCACGTGCTCCAGGTCTGAGGGATCCCTGGGGGCCTCTCCATGGGTGTCTCTTAAGACTCTGTCTTCCTTAAGGCCCTTCCCCACAGCTGGCTGCTCTGTGGACTGGGGTGTGTACACATGTGTGTGAATGTATGCCCATGTGTGCAGGGGGCTGCTTCACCAGGACTACATTCCCGCCTCACACCGCGTGTTTGTCACCCACACTGAGGCTGTGCACATGGCTCGCAGTGTGTTTATTGTAAGCTCATGGGGCAGCTCTCCTGCGCCCTCCCGTTTGCTGGGTCCTGGTGACCTGTAGCTCTTCTCTATCCCGATCACCAGTAGGCTGTGGCTGGACTGGGATCGGGGAGGGGGTGCTCTTGGGCAGAGCTGGCTGGGTCCAGGGCTGCAGGAAGTAGCCATGTTTGTGGGACAGGGAGCCTAAGACCTGCCCATTTGAACTCATCCAGCAGAGGGGCCCAGGTCCTGCCCCTAGGGCTTGGTCTGGCCTAGGGGTGGGGGGAGACACTCATGTGGTCCTAGAGGCCCGTCACCACGTGGGCCACAAAGATGACTTTATAGTTCTCCTTCACATCGCCCTTGAGCTGCAGCAGGGTGGACACCATGAGCGGCTGGTCTGGCTGAAACGGGAGAGGACCCTCAGCCCGTGTACACCTCCAGGGAGCAATTCTTCCCTCACCCCCCACAGGTGCCCCACAGCCGCTCCGCCTTCAACAGCCCAGCACCTACGCCAAAGTCGACAGGCGGCACCCAGGAGACACTGATGGTCTTGGTCTGGCCTCGGTCCACGGAACCCCTGGCAGGCTCGATGGAGAAGCCCTTGTGCTGCAGCCATGTGACACCGTCCAGGCTGAACTCCACGGTCTGCAGGCAGTGGCACTGGGGCCTGTGGACTGGTGCCCAGCACCCATCCCACTCTGCTTGGGGCTGCCCACCCCCAGGGCTGCGGGAAACCCCAGGCACGATAGTGAGGGGCACAGCTAGGGCTGCCTGGGCAGGGTGAGGGCTGCCTAGCTGCGCCAGGAGCAGAGCCACCATTACCTTCTTTGGAGACGGCTGCGTGGTCCGGATGCAGCCCACTTGCAGCTCCCTGGTGGCGGGTGGGCCTTGCTGGTCTGCATCCAGCTGGACGTAGTTGAGGGTCAACAGGATAGGCTTCAGCTCCTCAGCCTCTGCAGAGAGAGGGCGATGGACACCAGCTGAGCAGAGGCCGTGGCTGGGACAGGCAGGGGAGTTGGGCATGGAATCCTCTGAACATAGTGCACAATGGTTCCCACCTGGCTTTGGGGATGGTGGCCTGGACCCTCACCTTCCAGTGTGGGCCTGGTGACCCACTTGCCAGGGGGGTTCTGGGGTCCCTGACTGCTCCCCGAGGTTGTGTGCCTCCTCTGCACTTTCCTGATGCTGAGCTTACCCTCTCTGTGCTCGGGGTCGGAGGCAGGGATCACCATCAACGACTCCACGGGCACGTCCAGGGGGTCCCCGCCCTCCACGAACATCATGTGCTCTCGGGCAGCTCCCTTCAGCTGGATCTCATGAGAGACTTTCTGGGGTGAGAAGCAGGCAGCCTGACCCCCAGCTTTGCTTTGAGGGCTGAGGCTGGCTCCAGGTGGGGCACGCCGAATCTCCACCCCTGGCCCCAGTGTAGTGTCTTTGGCCTTGAGGTGGGACAGAGCAAGAAAAGGTGGGAAGGGGACCCACAGGGGTCTCTGAGCCCCACCTTTTCGAAGAGTACAACCTGGAGCCGGTCAGAGAAGTACAGGCTCTCGTGGTCGGGGCTGAAGGTCACGGTGAAGTCCTGTGCCTTCCCAGGGTCCAGGATGCCGGTGACTGGGACCACACTGAACACACTCTGGCCACTGAGATTCTGTGTGCCTGCGGCCAGTGGAGGGGTGGCTGGGAATTCCCTGAAAAGCCTGGTGCCCTCCACATACTGCGCCTACCCTGCCATCCTTCCAGGCACCCCCGGGCAGCAGTGTTGCACAGCTCACCCACGATGTCTGTCCTCCGTGGCTGGGAGATGAGGAACTGTGGCAGCTCCTGTCGGTCAGAGGCCCTGGAGCTTGAGAGACTGTGGAGCTGCACAGAGAACTTGATGGGCAGTGAGGAGTCGTTCTGCAGCTGCCAGACACAGGGCATCAGGGACCCGCCATCCTACTATCCTCTGCCCTGGTCAGTGCCCACTCTGCAGTCACATCAGTGACTGCGCCAGCACTCAGAGTGGGCGCCCTCCTCATGGACCCTTCCCTGGTGGTTGGCCAGCTTGGTGCTGCTGCCTGAGCTCCCCTGTCTCTTCCTGGTCCTCAGTGCACCCCAGGGCGCTCTTTTCCCACAGTCCCTGTTGGGGCTCTGCAAACCTAACCCCAGGGTGCTTGAGTTGGATGCTAATGTGGGGGGGCACGTGGCAAAGCTCGAGGCAGCTGGCAAGGGAGCTATGCAGCGACACAGGGCAAGAACAGGCAAGTGCCATGTGGAGGAAGGCACACTCAGCCCTCTTGGGGGCATGGCAGGGGTGCCAAGTGCTGGGGCCTTGGCCTCCAGATCCCCCACACAGGACTAACCCACCCCCTGGAGGAAACCTTGAAGCCTGTAGAGACCGATTCTCTGGCCAGCACGTAGCCCATGTCAAGGATGTTGCTGTCAAGGGAGCACGTGATCACAGACGCCACGCCGGTGCCCACCAGGGTGAGGGTGAGGGTGCCTCTCTTGGTGATGATCTCCAGCATTTCCTGAGACTAGAGCACAGTCTGTGTGTTGGGCTGGGGCCTTGGTGTGTGGGGATCTGGGCCCCCACTGACTTTCTGGCACAAGGGGCTGACAGAGCCATGGTTGCCCAGTTCCATTTGGACAGACAGGGGCATCAGGGGCCAGCACTCACCAGGACACTCTCCTGGGGTGAGAAGGACAGCACCAGGACCCGTGTCTTGCCAGCAAGCAGCTTGCTGGGGGTGTTCACCAGGAAGAAGGGGCCTCTGGGGCTCAGCACGGAGAAGTCCAGCTGAGGCTGGCGTCAAGGGGCAGGCGCTGGCTCTGCAGCCTGAACCGGCCCTGCTCCCCCCAGGACGACTTCGAGGTGGACAAGGATACGGCCAGGTCCTCGGGGCAGGTGTTCTGGAGGGAGACCTTCTTGATGCTGCAGTGTCCTGAAACAGTGGGGAGTTGGTTGCAGTCCTGGGCTCCAGGGCCCTGCACCCTGGACAGAGTGGGCGGACGTGCCCCACACAACACTCACCAACAGCAATGTCACCAAAGTTGATGACAGTTTTGCCTTTGTCTGAGGTCACCACGACAGCTGGAGCCACTGCGGGGCACCATAGCTCCAGGTACAGCGTGTTGTGGGGGCTATGGGCAGGTCAGGCAGGCCAAGGTCAGAGCTGCGCCCAGCCCTGGTCAGCACAGAGGAGCATGAGGATCGTGGAGCCACTGCAGCCCGGCCCAGCCTGAACACACCGCACCTGAAGCTCAAGGGTTCCAGCCCATTCCTGTCTCTGACATCGCCGCTGGCAACCACGCAGGGCACCACAAATTTGTCAAACCGCCCCTGGAACGTTCTGGCCACAGTGGCCCGGGCAGCCTGGTACTCGTCGTCTCTGCAAAGACCCCAGCAGGTGCTGCTGATGGACCCCCAGGGACTTGGTTCTGAGTGGGAAGGGACAGTGGCCTGGAGCCACCTTTCAGCCAGGCAGTGCCAGCCCAGCTTCGCCACCCTTGGTGTGTGCCAGGGTGGGTGAGGGATACCTCCCCACTCTGGGTCCCAAGCAGCCACAAGGAGACACAGGACTGAATCCAGGGCTGGCAAATGGCCCAAGCCCCCCACAGCGTTCCAGGGCTGCTTTCACTTTAGGAAGGCTGAGGCAGGACAGCAGCCTCTCATGCAGCTCAGGGAAAGGGGTCTTTCAGAGTGACAGAGGCTGGGCAGATGCCCAGCTTGGGTCACCCGAGACTTCTGGTCCTGTGTCCACACATTTGTGCTCTGGCAGCCTGTGGGGAGAGCCAGGGCAGGCTCTGTGGTGGCCTAGGACACAGACAGGGAGACCCCCCTGGCCCACCTGACTTCCAGCTCCTGCTTCTGATGTGCAGGGGCCTGGCCCGGCCAGTCCTGGGCCCTCACGTCCTTCCTCTGGGTGGCCACGTCCTTCTGCAGCTGGGAGACAGAACAGCGGCTGGGGGCTTCCCGGGGCTCTGCCTGTGCCCAGTGGACAGCACTGTCTAGAGCCCTCGAAGGCCCCACTAGCAGGCCTTCGAACTGGTTGGCTCCTGAGAAGGGCTGGCTGTGGGGGTCGCAGGGCTAAGCCAGGGGACCTGAGACTGGCAGAGACTGAGGCCCGCCAGAGGACTGCATGTCACCAGTGGGTAAACGGCACAGGAGGACTGGAGGTATGTGTAAAGGAGTCCTCGACCCGCACCTTCCCCTGGGTCTTGTGCCCTGTCCTTGGCTCCTGGGCCCGGCCACAGGCTGGTGTGGCCGGCAAGGATCCCATGGTGTTGTGCAGAGCCTGCAGCTGCCCATCCGGTGCTTTCCTGTCTTCCCTGGGGTCGCCAGGCTGCACTTCAGGTTTGTTCTGGTCCTGTCTTTATCAAAGTCCAGCTGCACCCTAGACCCTGGCCTCCCAGAGCCTGTCCTCTGCAGGACCCTGGTCCCTGCCCTCCAGACCCTCACACTCTGGGCCCTGCTTGCTGCTGGCTGGTGCTTTCGGAGAGCAGGAAGGGGACTCCAAGAAGACGTCCCTCTTGAGAACAGCTGACCCACCAGGCCACACAAACCTGCAGTGCCCCCCCAGCCACCACCCTGCCTGCTGGTTGCACACACCGGCGTGGACTGAGTTTCTCTGTCGACAGTCTCAAGGGCTTCCTGAATGACCAGCTGGTGGGGCAGTGTGGGCTGGAAGGCCACCCGGACCAAGCACCTCTGTGGGGCACATTGGGACTGTGAGCTGGAGGGTGGGCAGCCCAGCTTGGTCCCTAGGCTCCCCTCAAAGTCACCTCCGGATTCTGGCCATCCTTGACCACTGTGCTGGGAGGTGGGCCTGCACAGGAAGCTCAGCCTGCCCCAGACAACGTGAGGTACCCAATGGAGGGCTGTGAGCAGTGTCTTGGGCAGGCCAGGACTCACCCACTGCCTGTAAGGCTGAACCTAATGCTAACCCTAACCCCAAGTCCAATCTCTAACCTCCAACCACAACCCGACCTTTAACCCCAACCGCTGACCTCTAACCCCAACCCTTAACCCCCAGTCCTGCCCCTGCCCCTAGTGCAACCCCACTCACCTTTCCAGGCAGCACAGTTCCCACTGAGGGGGAGATGGTGATGGGTGCATCTGGAGGCAGCAAGAACTCGAAAGATGTTGGTCCCACTGGGCAGAGGTCCCCAGAGCCGACCACACGGGGCAGGGAGCTTGTGGTCAGGTGGGAGTTGGTGACATACAGTGAAGCCACTGAAGTGTCATACAATGCAGTGGCCGCAAACTTGATCTGGTAGTGGGACAGCTCCAGGGGCGGCTGGACGCCCACGGCTCGGCAGGACAGCTTGAAGCACCTGCAGGTGACCAGGGTGGTGGTGGCTGGCCATGCAGGCACAGCCTGGGCCGGAGGGTCCAGGACATATTGCTGCAGTGGTCCCGTCACTCGCTGCCCATGAACAAGTTCTGAGAGATGAGATAGCCCTGGGCACTCTCCTGGTGGGCACTAATGCTTTAACTGGAGGCTTCGACAGTGGCAAGGTGGGAATTTCTAGCTTATTATGGTATGTATTTATTGGCACTTAAAAGTTAAAACTGATAAATCACTCTTTAAATATAAACAGGGAAAGCCGGGCATGGTGATGCATCTCTGTAATCCCAGTGCTTAGGAGGCTGAGGCAGGAGGATTGTCTCAAGTTTGAGCCCAACTGGGCTACACGGTGAGTCCGGGTCAGCTTGAACTACACAGTGAGATCCTGCTTCAAAACTACAAACACACACACACACGTAGGGATTCATTTCACTTTAACTATTGGAAACTTGTTTTATTTTGGATTTTTTTGTGGGGATTGTTTTTGAGTTTTTTTGTGTGTAATCCAAGCTGGCCTCAAACTCACGGTGATTACAGCCCTCCCAAGGGCTGAGATTATAGGCATGTGGCAACTCCCCTTCCAACTGTTTTGTTCTTTTTTTTTGAGAGAAAGAGAGAGAGGGTGTCACTGTGTTTTCTAAGCTGGTCTCCAACTTCTGGGCTCAAGAGATCCTCCTGCCTCAGTTTCCCTAGCGGCAAGAACTGCAGTTGTGCACCTCGGCTCCCATCCCCACCTTTGGTTTTCAGTGGTGGGGGTGGAAGTGGCACCTCTTACAGGCTGCACACGAGCTCTACCACTGAGCTACACCCCCAGCCCTTTTAATTTTTGACAGGGTCTCACCAAATTGCTCAGGCTGGGGTGGAACTTGCAGTCCTCCTGCCTCAGCCTCAGGAATGGCTGGGGTCACCCGCCCCACACCTGGCATCCAGCTGACCTAAGGGCATGGCTCTGGCAGCTCACTCAGGGCCTTGGCATCTGTAGCCTGCCAGGCGCATAAGGTAGGTGTCAGAGGTGCACAGCTGGAAGCAGGGCGTTCGGCTGGGACCTTGCGACCCTTCTCCAGGACCTTGATATCGCTCATGGCGCACTCCACATGCACTGGAGCAGCGTGGGACCCACTTGGCACCCTGGGGGCCTTCCCAACTCAGCTCGGCCAACCTGTGCAGCTGGTCGGCTAGGAAAGTGTTTTCATCTGGGCAAGGGCCGGAGTTCTCACTTCGGGAGCTCGGAAGTCCTAAATTCCTTTTCCTGCAGTTGTTCAGCTTCCCAGGGCCCCTCCCCGAACCCCTGGGTTTCCTGGTGGCTTCAGCTCTGCCCCCCCCCCCCCCCGCAGGATCCACGTCCTCAGTGTTCTTTATTTACTGTGGCCTTGTTGGAGTACACAATTGACTATTTTTTTTCCTTTACATGAAAAGACTTTTAATGAAATACTGGTTTCTATTTCATTGATTTCTGCTCTTATCTTTTCTTATATCTTTCTGTGCTGTGTCCCTAATTGTTGAAAAAGCAGTTTAGATTGTTGATTTTCAAGCTCTTTTTTTTTTTTTTGTCTTTTTGAGACACAGTCTTGCTATGCAGTTCAGGCTGGCCTGGAGCTCACTTGTAACCCAGGCTGGCCTCAAACTTGCAGCAATGCTCCTGCCTCAGCCTCCAGAGCACGGGGATTACAGGCGTAGGCCACCATGCCTGGTTTCCACTGCTTTCAATGGATCACAGGTACTCGACAAATTTAATACCTCCCAACTGGGGTCCTGAGGTGTGCAGTGAGGATCAATCACAAAAATGCATGGAGGCAGGTGACCTCGACCCCTTGTTCAGGCTGCCTGGCCCCACAGTCTCAGCTCTCCACGTCCCACAGCCTGCAAAGCCATCGAGGCCAGGCACGTGGTGCGGTTTATCACCCAGTGTCTGTGCACTCTTGAGTGTGCACAGGTGCACATGTGTGTAGAGGAGCAGAGAGGTGGTGCAAAAGGTTCCCACAGGGTGGAGGGACCAGTTCTGGGCAGGGAGGGCAGCCAAGGTGATTCCCACGCTGGGTGTGGGTGGGAGGTCTTTTCCATAACAGAGAAATTGAGGCACAGGTGGTTAAACCTGAGATCTGTTCCAGGTGGAGGGGCCGAGCTACTGGTCCCACAAGCTCTTGGAAGATCAAAGACAGGAGGGGTAAAGAGCGCCTAATAGAGAACGGCAGGGTGGGGCCTCTACTCTGTCACCACCAGAGCTGAGACCCCGCCATGCTCAGCCACGCGTCTGGTTCTGGTCCCTGGTGCCCAGGGTGGGAAGACCAGCCTGTCACAGTATGTGTCTGGCAGGCACTGCGCACTCTTTCTCGGAACACCGGTGAGGACTTCTGAGGATGCAGTGTGCACGCTTACACAGGCACACTCACCAGGGCATGCACATATGCACTCCCACACACCCATGTCCACAAAGCCCACAAAGCAACTCAAGTGCTCACACGTGCATGTGCACGCTCACCACTCACTCACGCGGTACACCCCACGGCGCTCCCCATGTGAGCTGCAGGTCAGGGAAGGCATGGACCACCCCACCCTGGCCGTCACCGGCTCACCGGTTTATCTCGGACTTGCAGACCAGCTGGAAGCTGTACTCCTTGGCCTTGGTGGGCTGGAAGAGCACATCCAGCTGCAACGTCTCCAGTGGCAGGATGGTCCCGAAGCCATCGTTGGGTTGGATGTCTATGAACTGTGCAGTGGGCAGAGGCTGGGAAATGCTGGGCACCTGGGCACCTGGGCAGCACAGGAGTCCGCGGCTGCCCCTCAGCAGGTGAGAGAGCGAAAAGCCAAGGGCTGGGGAGGCGTGGCAGGATGGCAGAAGGACCGCAGGGTCTTCAGGGCAGGAGGGCACTGGTCGAACCCAGCACCTACCTTGGGGAGCCCCACGAACCCAAACTCCTGGGGCAGCAGTGAGTGGTTGCACAGACTGATGCTGGTCCTGATGGCCTCGTAGACAGTGCAGTGGCCGAAGTCCACCATGGAGGGGCGGAGCTCCAGGTCTGAGGTGGTGACGATGGCGTGCACGGTAAACCCCACCGGCTTGGTCTGGGTGGAGGGCAGAGCACGTCTCAGTCCAACCATGGAGGGTACCCTGCTGCCTGTGGCCATCATGCAACTTCCAGCCTGGGTCTCCCCGTGTCACCCTGGGACCTGGCCCCGAGCCTTTGGTTCTCCTCTACTTTGGGCCACAGGACCAGGGGCTGACCAGCCACCACCATCTGGCCCACTTGGCTGGCATGAGAGGGTAGAGGCCACACTGACCTGGTTGGCCACCCAGATTGTCATTGGGGCCTCCAACACATGGCTGTCCTTGTCAAAATACTTCCCAGCATCCTCTGGCAGGGACTGTCTGCAGGACAAGATCACAGAATGTACTTTTCCCCTTTCTACTTTGCAAAACAGCGGCTAGTGAGGGGTGCTTGTGAACCCGAGTGCTCAAATGAAATGCGGGTGCCATGGGCTGCCTCCTATGACATCACCCTTGTGGACCCAGAGGCCCAAGATGGGCTGGCCAGATAGGCAGCAGGTCACCCCAGGAGTGGTGTGAGCTCGAGGACTGTGCTGGGCACTGGGTCTGAACGGCTGCACTAAAATAAGCTGACCTTGGGAGGATTGTTGCGCGTTCAAGACCAGCCTGGGCTACAAAGTGAGCTCAAGGCCAGCCTGAACTGCATAGTGAGACCCCGGCTCAAAAAAGACAAAAAAAAAAAAAAAAAAAAAAGAAAGAAAGAAAGAAAGAAAGAAAGAAGCTGACCTCAAGCCAACAGGGGGCGTTAAACTCGCAAGGAGCTGTTGGCGTAAAGAAGCCCAGTGAAGCAATTTTGCTGTGACTCAGTGGAGTGTCATTGTTCGAAAGTTGGAAAATGCAAACAAGAAAGAAAACCCACTGTGCTTTTCCAGGCAGCCAGGGACCAGGCCAGGCCAGGCAGGTCCCCATCTCCGTCACCCATGTGGTCCCAGTCCCGGCAGTGGGTTGGGGCTGGGGACCAGCTCCACTCCCAGAAAACTGGTAGCAAAATTAAAAGCCAGGCTGTGGCTCCCAACACACTGCGAAGCCAATGACCCCAAACCCATTGGCTGGAGATGGAAGCCCGAGACCTGCCAACTGGAGGCTTCTGGGCACTACCAGGGACCCACGGGGCACAGGGACAGCAACATGTGGGGCCCAAGGACGGAGCAGAATCAAGCCGCAAGGGTGAGCCCAGACCCTGGCGCTGTGGATGGGAGCTGAGGTGTTAAAAGGACGGCACAGCTGGTGGCAGGAAGCAAGCTGTAACCTTGACACCGGGAGCCCCCCACTCACCGGGGCAGGAACTTGAGCTGGACGGAACAAGACGCCTGGGCCTGGATGTAGCCCATTTCAGGCAGCAGCTCCAGGTGGCCTCTGAGCTCTTTGCACACCTCGAACCTCAGGCGCTGGGACACCTTCGACCTGTGGCACAGGGTGCCACTCAGGGCCACAGCACCGCACCCTGCGTGTGCCTGACCTTTTCAGTTGGTAAATATCTGTGTTTGGGCGTGGCGGTGCATGCCTGTTACCCCAGCACTCAGGAGGCTGAGGCAGGAGGATCCCAGGTTTGAGAGCAGCCTGGGAAACAGCCAGTGAAGGCAGCCCAGACTACACCGTGAGACCCAGCCTCAAAAAGCTGCACTATATTTCTAATGCTGGAGCCAGCAGTGGAGCTCGGTGCACACTGATGACTGGAGAAGCTGGGAAACTCTGTTTCTTGTGGACAGGTTTCTCTGAGATGCAAGCTGATGAGAAATTCTTTTTTTTTTTTTTTTTTATGGTGGTGTGGTTTTTTGAGTCAGGGTCTATGCAGTTTGGGCTTGCCTTGAGTTCACTTTGTAGCTCAGGCTGGTCTCAAACTCACCACAATCTTCCTGCCTCAGCCTTCCAAGTGCTGGGATTATAGGCGTGAGCCACCAGGCCCGGCTTGATGAGAAATTCTTAAACACAAAATTAAACACGCTGCAATTGACAAGGCCTTGCCAGTTCCCAGGCCTCCAGGCTTTCTGGGAAGAATGCCTGCCAGGGATTGCGGGGCTGGAGTCCAGGTCTGGGTGGCAATGGCCCCCTCCTGTCCTGCTTCCCCTGTCCAGGAGGCCCTGGCGGCCAGGCCGCTGCTGATGGCGCACGTTCCCATATAGGGCCAGCAGAGGGCGCCAGCAGGGCCCTAGCAGGTAAGTTAGCTGCTGTCCCAGGTCCCGCAGGCCTTGTTTCCAGCTTGGCTCTGCCGCACGCACTCTCTGCCTCAGCGTCCCTTCCAGAGCAGCCTTGGCCACAGCCCCTACTCCCATTTATGGTGCCTTTCTTTGCCCCCTGCATCCAAGGGCAGCCTGAGCAGATGCTCCTGCTCCGCATAGCCAGTGGTTCTAGAACTTTCTAGAATCTTCTGCTGCCTTTTCAGGTGCTTTTCTGTCCCGTGGCCATCTCGGGTCTGTGGCCCAGGTTCTCCTGGATGCCTGCCTATTGTGTCCCTGTGAGTGGAGTCCACAGCGGCCATGTTGTGGTGCTGGACGTGCCGTCACACTGCGGACACTGTGTGGAAGCTCCATGGTGTCACCTGACTGGCTCGGAGCTGCTGGGGAGCCCACTCGGGCATCTGGGGGGGAGAGGAGACTGGACCCAGTATGGGACGTGGCCCCTGGCCCCTCCTCTGTGGCACTGTCCCCTGCCACCCAGTGACAGGAACACGGACGTGTGAGGGCTGGGGCCACAGTTCAGGCATCACAGTGGCGGGGACCCTGGGTTGACTGCAAGGAGGCCCAAGACGGGCACCGAGGGAGGTCTTGCTGGTGCCTGGTGCACCCACTGGCAGTCTTGGGGTGTTCCGAGGCTGTGCCATCCCCACTGTACAGCTGGCCAGGACCCCTGTGGCCCACCCTGGGCGCTAGTCCTGGGCATACAGAGGCAAGCGGTATTCGTGAAGCACCTTTCCTACCATCATGCTGCTCAAACCCACCAAAGCTAGAAACCGCTGGTAATGGATTTTTAAAAAAATCACTAAACAGCCAGGCTTGGTAGCACGCATCTGTGATCCCAGCTACTCAGGAGGCTGAGGTAGGAGGATCCCAAGTATAACCTGTAGTGACTCTGTCTCACAGTAAAAACCAAAAGGACTGAGGGTGTAGCTGAGTGTGAGGCCCTGCGTTCAGTCCCCACTAACACACACACACACAGACACACAGACACACACACACACACAGACACACATACAGAAACAGATACACATAGACACACATACATAGACACACACAGACACACACACACAGACACACACAGACACACACAGACACACAGACACACACAGACACACACAGACACACTCACAGACACACTCACAGACACACACACAGACACACACAGACACACACACACTCACACAGACACACAGACACACACAGACACACACAGACAGACCCACACAGACAGACCCATACAGACAGACCCACACAGACACACACACACAGACACACACACACACACAGACACACACACAGACACACATACAGAACAGATACACATAGACACACATACATAGACACACACAGACACACACACAGACACACACAGATAGACACACACTCACACACACACACTCACACACAGACACATACAGACACACACACAGACACACACACAGACACACACAGCAGACACACATACAGAAACAGATACACATAGACACACATACATAGACACACACAGACACACACACACAGACACACACAGATAGACACACACACACACAGACACACAAACACACACAGACACACAGACACACACAGACACACAGACACACACACAGACACACACAGACACACACAGACACACACAGAGACACACACATTCACACAAACACACAGACACACACAGACACACACAGACACACACAGACACACACACAGAGACATACACACAGACACACACACAGAGACACACACACAGACACACACACAGACACACACACAGACACACACACAGACACACATACAGAAACAGATACACATAGACACACATACATAGACACACACAGACACACACACACAGACACACACAGATAGACACACACTCACACACACACACTCACACACACAGACACACACAGACACACACACAGACACACATACAGAAACAGATACACATAGACACACATACATAGACACACACAGACACACACACACAGACACACACGGATAGACACACACTCACACACACACACTCACACACACAGACACACAGACAGACACACACACAGACACACACACTCACACACACACACACACACACACACTGATAAATGTGTTGCTGAGAGCAAATCCCTATTCCTCTCCCACTGACCGGGAAGCTTCCTAACGGAAACCCTGTGCAACCCTATCCCCCATCTGGACCCGCCGAGTGTCTCCAGCTTTGCCCCGGGCAGGGCTGGGAGGTTCCCAGATGCATAGCAGGCTGCCGGGGATGCTGCTGTTCCTTCAGGGAGCGTGACTGGAGGCCCGGCAGGGGACGGCGTGTGGGGGCCCTCTGCCTGGTGGCAGCTACCTGAGGCCCATGAGCTGGCTGTCACCACCCTCCACTAGTGCCCTGTGCAGGACAGGGGACCGTGACAGAGGTAAATGTCAGGACGGCCCCAGGGCTGCACGGTGGCTCTGCTCAGAGGCCCAAAGCCCTCATCCTTCTGGTGTTCGGGGTGCGCGTCCCTTGCATGTGCCCTGTCCTCTATCCCCAACCTGCCCTGTCCCCGAGCTCCCTGGGAAGGTGTTGAAGGACCGGGCTCCTGGACACATGGGGGCCCCTCCCTCTGCAGGCCGGCGGCCCCTGGCTCACCGTGTGTGCACGAGCACAGAGTCCTGGTACAGACGGTCGTACATGCAGATCTTGAGGTCCACGTTGGGCTTGGGCACCCACACTGGCACATCCACCGCCACACCTGTGGCTCTGAAATACAGCTGGGGTTGGATGGGGGGAGTCAGCACGGGCTCCGCGCAGCAGGGGACCCCGCAGGCTGACTTTGTCACTTGTAATATTGGAGAGTCGGTCAGTACACAAAGCTCTGGTGTTTTTCATATCGCTATCATTATGAGGGGTACTGGGGTGCTCTACCACCAAGCTACACCAGCAGCCCTTTTTAAATTTTTATTTTTTTGCTTTTTATTTTTGGAGACAGAGTCTTGCTAAATGGCCCAGGCTGGAATCCACCTTGACACTACCCTGCCTCGGCCTCCCTGCTACCTGAGATGGTGGGTGCCCAGCCACATCATCATCATTAAAAAGTTCTTTGAATCAAAAACTTTTCAAACATAAAAAATAGAGCAGAACACTAAGACACAAAGTGCCAACTGCCACGGTCCCCACAGTACCATGGAAACTGTGGCTAGGGCAGTCACTGCGGGATCCATGGGGACTGTGAGGTGTGTATTGTGGGGCCTTGCGGAGCTGTGAGGAGCTGTACTGTGGCGACGTGGGCGCTGTCTGTGCTGCTGCACGGGGTGGCCTTCCGCCCTCCAACCCTCTTCTGAGGAGGTTTCCCAGGCTGGAGTGGGATTTGGCAGCATGAGAAGGGGACACCAGCACGAAGGACATTCTCATAACTCCAGGGAGGCTGAGCAGACCCAGGGGTTGAGGTGGACGACACAGAGGGTTGTGGGGTGGTGGCCGGGTGGCACGGGGCCTCCCGTCTCCCACAGAAGGGTGGAGTCAGGGGTCAAGTGGCACCAGCTGGGGCGAGAGGAACATGTGTTGGGACTGCCCCATCACTGAGGGCGAGAACAGGGCCAGCAGGAGTGGGACAGAACCAGAAAGGACAGGGAGGAGCCTGTGGAGTAAATGTCGCAGGCACTCAGCTGAGGCAGCAGCACAGCACACATGGCAGAGGTCCCCCGAGACCACCGGAACTCGGGGTGCCTTGGAGGGGCAGAAGCTGAGGCCCTGGCGAGAGGAGTGGCTGAGGTGGGGGTGGAGGAGGCCGGGGCAGTGGAGAGGAGAAAGGGACAGCGCTGAGGTCGCTTTCTGATGATATTTTACTAAATTAAAAAAACAAAAAGGTAAAGGTGGGCATGGTGTTTTGAGACTGTGATCACAGCACACCGAGGCTGGGCAGGAAGATTGCAAACCTGAGCCAGCCTGGGCAATTCAGAGGCTCAGCGAGACCCTGTTCTAGGAAAAACAAATAAGAGCGCTGGGCATAACTGAGCAGGGAGCCTGGGTTTGGCCCCCAGTACCATGAGAAATAGGGGGGTGTGAGGCCTTATGCATGCATGCACATGCATGTGGGTGTGTTCTGCACACACGTGAGTCTGGTGTGCACAAGTGCCCCGCTGTGCATGGCCGAGGTGCCAACATCCACACCCTGCACCCTGCCACAGAGCACAGGGTGGCTCCCTGCTGGGGCTGCTCACCGTATGGCACTGTGGATTCTTGAACACCACTTGGAAGTCGGCATGGACCTCACCTGGGACGGTGGGCGTGAAGACGACCGGGACTCTGACAGAGCTGAAGGGCCCAATGTCCCCCTCGGTCACCTGCACAGTGAGCCAGGCCGGGTCAGCAGCCAGGGGGACTTCCCTGAGATGCCCCCAGATAGCCAGGCTGCTGCAGGGCCCAGTCCCTGGGTGGCTCCTGGTTGTGGGCTGGCCCTGTCCATGAGCACTCACTGCTGAGGCTCAGCCCAGCCACCCCTGCACCCTCTGCCCTGGCCATGTAGGGCCCGTGGGCAGTGTCCTGCCTCGCTCAGCGTGGAGCGTGGCTCTGGTTGAGACCACAATCCTAGCTGCAGGCCCCACCCGGCTCTGGGAGGAGGAGGCAGGGAGGGGATGAGCGGGCTGGGCTCACCTCGCCCAGAGTGATCTCCGCCTGGGCCTCGATGGGGGTCGCCATCACGCCGCTGGCCGTGGGTGCACCCTCGAGTTCTGGAGGACAAAGCATGGCGGTGGAAACAAAACCACTGTGCTGTCCCTGCTCTGGAAGAGTCGGAGCAGCCAGACCAGACAAACAGCAAACTGGGGGACCCCGTGCTGCATGTCCCGGATGGAGCAAGGCCGAGGAGGAGTGATGCAGCCACACTGTGCCTGCAGCAGGGACTCAGCATGTCCGGAGAGACTTCCCGGGACGGAGCTATTGAACGGTCATGGCAGAGCCTTTCCACGCACACCCCAGGAGGGCGACGACACCCCATGGGAAACACGACCCGGCCTCACTTCTGATGCCCACAGAACGTGAGCTGTGTGGGGCCCTGAGTGTAGGTGCCAGCTGTGTGTCCTTGTGTTGGATGGCAAAGGAGGCAGAAGGGACGCAGATGGGCATGTACATACAGCCAGCGCAATGATCGGTAAGTTCCAGAATCTTAAAATTGGGACTTCTGACTCAAGAAAAGAGGCCACAACCAGAGTGGAGGTGCACACCTGTCATCCCAGTGCTCTGGAAGGCTGAGGCAGGAGAACCACAGGTTTGAGCCCAGATTGGAAACTTTAGGGACCCAGTGAGGACTTAGAAACAAAAAACAAGGGGTGGAGATTTAGCTCAGCAGCTTAAGGACCTGTCTGGCAAGCACAGGTCGTGAGTTGGATTCCTGGTATAAAAAAAAAAAAAAAAAAAAGGAGAGAAAGAAAGAAAGACAAGAGGGCTGAGATGCCAGGCGCAAAGGCCCTGGGCTCTGCCCTGGCAGTGCTGCGGGCGGGGACGATGTTCTAATGGGAGGGAAGGGAGGAGGTGTGGGCTGGGGTTGGGGCTGCCTGACAGGCTGTTCTGGGTGCAAAAGCCCAGCCACCGGGAGGCCAGGAGAGCCCCACTTTGGCCCCGTGCTCAGAAGAAATGGCCTGCTCTGGCCACTGCCACCTGCGGCCATGCAGACCTGGAGCTGGACTTCCAGGCACAGTCAGGCCGTGGGCTTGCTGTCTGGGGAGACCTGGGTGTCTTGGTTCCTAACGCAGCTGTGTGTTGCCCCTGAGCTCGGCACATGTGGTGTATGAGGAGGGGGGACAGGGATGGCTGCTGTTTCTTTTTTTCTGTTTTTGGTTTTTTGAGGCAGGGTCTCACTGTGTAGCCCAGGCTGGCCTTGAACGCATGGCAATCCTCCCGCCTCAGCCTCCTGAGTGCTGGGGTTACAGGTGTGCGCCACCACACCTGGTGCTGATGGTTGCTATTTCTGAGGTTGGAGCCTTTAAATTTAAGAAGCTAGAGGTGGTAAGCCAATCCAGAACCTGGCTAGACTGATGGGACCCAGCTGGACACTCCTGTGCTGTGCAACAGCCACCCACACACGGGGCTTGCTGGGCTGTGTGGGTCCAGAGTGGCACTATCACGTGGCAAATGCTGACACAGGACCCGTGGTGGGGGCACAAGAAACCCAAATGGTGTTGGCCGCTCTTGCAGAGGCTGCCAGGGAGCCACTGCTCGTCACCCAGTCCAGGCTCCGAGGAGCAGCAGGGAGGCCGTGAGGGCTTGGGGCACTGGGATTGAGGGCCACTTGTTGTCCTTGGGTGCCATTGTGGTCTCCACAGCACTGCAGACCACTGAGATGCAGCCCCAAGACGGCCCAGCCCCAAGCTGGTCTCTGCCCTCCTCCACCTTCCTCCATGTCCAGGTGGGAGCTGGGCTCCCCTGGTGTAGCACCTGTTGGCTTCACACAGAGTGGATTTCAATCCGCTCTGTAACTTGAGTCTGAGTACGTGAAGGCATCTGTCATCACCAGAAACTGAAGCCATGAGAAGATCTCAAGACCCTGGGGCCCCCCATTCTGCCCAGCTCTGGAGTGGGGCTCCCCGACCCTCTCAGGCTCTCACCCGACGGCAGTGACTCCTTCTGGCTCTGGGTGTCAGGCGGGGAGGAAGTGCTAGCCTCCAGCATCGACTCAGAGACGCCGCCGGCCATAGGCCTCTCGTAGAGATTCCTGTCCTCGTAGGTGAACAGGCTGCTCTGGAAGGGAGGGGTCTTCAGCACTCTTCCTGGCTACCTGCACTCAGGCCAGGGCTGCAGGCCCCTGTGAGTGCCTCAGAGCACGCCCCCATCGGGGTCGCCCCGTAGGTGGTCCCTGCCCATCTCCCATCACCACATACTCAGGGGATGGAGTCTTGCTGTCTCTGAGGTGGTGACCACAGCTGTGCTTGGGATCACCCCTCAGGATTCTGCTGATGAGAGCCCCCTGCACCTTCTTCCTCTCTCATGGTTGCCCTGGGGCCAGGCCCCACACTTGCTCTGGGCTGGGAGGAGCCACAGCCACTGGCCAGAAGTGGCAGGGCACTCACCAGCTTCAAGACGGACTGGGGTTCACCAGGCTTGCTGGACTCGGAGGCTGGGAGGATCTGGAACCCGGTGCCCAGGCCGCCGGTGTTGGTCAGCGTGATGGTGCGGGATGCGGTCTCTCCTACCACGTAACTGCCAAAGCTGATGAGCTTCTTGTCCAGGGAGAGCTGTCGGAGGACACTGGAGTGAGCTGGGGCCACAGCAAGCCAGCATGGTGCCCCATATTGTTAGGTTTGAGAAAGGGATAGAGGAAGAAGAGGAAGGAACGAGAGAAGTGGAGTGGACGGCCGTGAAAGGAGTGGGCGGCGGTGGCTGCAAAGATAAGAAATATAAAATATAAGTAACCTTTATTTCGGGAATGCGGGGAGAGACCCCCCCCCCGGCCCTGGGGCGCAGCATCTCCACCCCGGGGCCGGTGGTCTCTCTCTGGAACACACTCTCCCTTTCTCCTTCTTCTTCTTCTTCTCGAACACGTGGAGTGAGGCCCATAAGTAGCCTCTGTCTGGGGTGGACCCCAAGGGGCATTAGGGATGCACAGGTATTTCATTGGCACACGTTTGGCGCCAGGGACAGGATCTTAGGGATGGGGGTATAGGGTTACAGGTAAATCTATAGTGGAGGGGGAGGCAGGAGCCCCCTAACTTGGCTGAGGCTTTTCCTGGTTAAAGTGTCTGGTCTGGGCCAGCAACTCTTTCATATCCCGTCTTATGATTATTAGGAAAAGGGGCGAAGATTTCTCTCTGTAACTACTTCCTGCTGGTAGGGCGCACTGTATTGGAGCCTAGGGGAGTCGACGGGATGAAGGTTTAGAACTACACCAACCTTGGCCTCAACTTTTGCCCTTAGCCTTAGCCAAGCTCAGGGCACTTCCCCGGGCTCCTACTTTCTTAAGTCCTTTTCAACTTATGTATGGTAGGCCATTCTTAATCCACAATCTTCCTGCTCCCCAAAATCTCCCTCCCCTGGCTGACTATGTCCCAGTCCTCTCCTTCCTCCGACACCTGTTGCGACAACATGCTGATCTCTGCCTTCCACAGCCCTCTGGAGAGGCCAAACCAGATCCTCCCACATTCCCAGGAGATCTAATTTATCTCAAATGTTCTAAATCCACAGGACTACAACCAAGGTGGAGTGGCCCTTACCTGGTCTACTTGGCTACAGCAGTCAAAGTTGCTGGACTCCCATCCTGGTTTCACATCACTCAGGCTAAAAGGTGCCCTCCCAGCACCAATCTGATCATTCTGAGTGGTCATCTCATCTTCTGTCACCCACCCGTCTCCGTTTCACAAAGGCCTCACAGCCGCAGTTAACAGGCTAAGTCATGTTTTGTTATCCGATTTGGTTCCTAATTTCTTACGCTCTATTAATGATCATTTTTGTAGTAGGACTCTTGACAGTCTTTCCTAGAGACTCCCACATCATGCGTAAGATCATCTTTATAATGTTCTATGTGATAACTGTCATGGTTCTTTCCACCCTCAGCTGTCTGTTTAAACGTGACATCCCTGAAAGCCTAAGCTCTCACCTTCCCTATATTGGTACAGCCACCGTCTCCCATACTCCCCCTATTTTATCCGGCTCAACTCCTAGACCGGAGACAAGTTTTACACACCTACCCTCCTAACTTTTATGCCTTCAGATGGGGGAGTAATCACCTCTCATAATTTCAATAACCTCACACTTATTTTTCAGAATTCTACCTCACCATGATGATGTTCCTACCTCAACGTCACCCTGATAAAATACCATCTCGAAATCAAAGGCACCTTCCTATCTACCTCACCTGGGTCCTTAAATATAATAGTGCCATGTCTCCTAATAACATCATGTCTCTTTGTTTTTTCCAGTCTGACATACGTACATTCACCAGTGAAGTTGTCCTGGCTAAAACACCTGGCATCAGTGTCTACCTGGGCATCAACCTTCATCCCGTCGACTCCCCTAGGCTCCAATACAGCGCCCCCTACCAGCAGGAAGTAGTTACAGAGAGAAATCTTTGCTCCTTTTCCTAATAATCATAAGACGGGATATGAAAGAGTTGCTGCTTCAGACCGGACACTTTAACCAGGAGAAGCCTCAGCCAAATTAAGGGGTTCCTGCCTCCCCCGCCCCTATAGATTTACCTGTAACCCTATACCCCCATCCCTAAGAACCTGTCCCTGGCGCCAAACGTGTGCCAATGAAATACCTGTGCATCTCTAATGGCCTTAGGGCACTGCCCTAAGCTTAGGCTATTTATATTCCCCCACACCACGTGTCTGAGAGAGAGATTGCCAGATTCCAGCGGCCAGTGCGCCAGTCTTCTCTCCCCGTGTTCCTGGAATAAAGGCCTCTTTTGTCTTATACTCCTCAAATTTTGGAAGCATCTTTTATTCTTTGAAGATAATCCTATCACATATGAGGTGAGCAATTGGGCACTGTGGCCCTGGGAGCCAACGTGAAGTGAAGGCACCTGTCCTGAGCATGCCCTGAACTGTAGTGCCATGGACAGCCTGGCCTGTGTCCCGGGCGTGGACTGCACATGGCTGCAGCTGGGACAGACAGGGCTGTTTATGTCGCCCACCCAGAACATGAGCCAGCCCGGGGTCCTGGGGAGGTGTGCAGATGGAGAGCCCGGGTGCTGGGCCCGGTTTTAAAATAGACAGCCCAGCTGGCAACAGCCTCGTTCAGGGATGACCGGGCACGTGGGCGTGATGGCAGGCCAGTGGTGGCCCAGGGGTGGGGGGCTGAGGCACCAGTGCTGCTGTGGTGCAGATGCTGCAGGCCATTCCCTCCATGTGTGGCCGGGGCAGCTGCTCTGGGTGCCGCAGCTGTGAGGCCAGGGTCCCCCTTGCCTGCTCCCTGCTGCCTGCCCTGAGGACCAGGGGTCAGCTATGAGCCCACCCTCTCCCACCCTGGACGCTGAGCTGATGCCCATGATCCGGGGCTGCTGTTTCTCCTGGCCCCCAAGGGGTCCCCCATCCTCACACCCCCATGCCCGCTGCGGGTGCCATCCCCAAGGCACACAGCCCCATCTGGGCAGCAGTGGTCTCTAGTCTGATGCGACCTATTATCCAGTTGACAGTTAATAAGGGGGACAGAGGGCCATGGGGAGCCATGAGTAGCAACCACACGTTTCCAGAATATCCCAGAGGGAACTGGCCAGCTGATCCTATGACAGAGAGCTGGGCAGGAGCAAGGCCACTGCCCTGGCCACCAGGGACCCAGGATCACGGTCATCAGCACCTCTCCATCCAGCCTGGCTGCTGAAGGTCATAAAAGGCGGCCAGGGCAGTGGGTGCTGAGCACAGGGCTCAGAGAAGTTTCCGCCTCCTCCTCCCTCTTACCTTGGAGTTGGGCTCCCTGGCACTCTATTCTGGACCTGGACGTGGACTCATGGGGAGTCTCTGGGTGCCATGGATGATTGAGCTTGTGCCCCAAGCCCAGAGTTGGACCTAGAAGGCCCTTGAGCACTCCAGCCCGGGTGGGGACCACATGGGCCTGGGCCTGTGGCTGTGAGCCCAGACCTCGATGCCTCTGTGTGCAGCAGAGTTGGGAGCTGTTTGCCACGCAGTCCTTTGTGGTGCGAGGCAGTGACACGTTCTGAGTTTACTGAGAAGGGGAAGCCAGGGCAGGGTGCAGCACTGAGGGGCAGGAGGTCGCCAATCTACGTGAGCTGGGTCACAAAACTACTGGTGGAGAGACGGAGGCGTCATGGCAGACATGACCAGCACTGGCCATGACAGAGGGTCTACGGGCGTGCCCTGTGTCTTCCTCCTGCTTTTCACTGTGTTTGAGAATTGGCTCGACCACAGCGAAAGCGCCATGTTGGGTGCTCAGGGCTGCCTAGTGGAGCAGCTCTCGGGACCCATCTGGGCCTGCCCAGCACCAGCCTGCCCCGGTCCCCAGGGCCCCAGCACTCCAGAGAGGGTCACCACCAGGAGCCCGCGCGAGGCAGGACTTCAACTTACAGAGCACTTCTTTGTTGAACATTTCAGAGGGACAGAAAACCCTCCTGTCTGAGCCAAAAAGGAGATGTGCCCCTCCAGATCTCTGTTTATCTAGAAGCAGAACAGCAGCCATCATCGCCTGTCACGTGACCTTAGGCCTGTCATGTGGGGAGGCCCCGGGAGGCTTCCAGGAGGAGCCCTGCAGGGCAGGATGCCTTTAACTCTGCCCACCTGCATTTCCGGACTATGTTCAGAGATTAAACACGAAAGTGGTGCAGCGAGATCTGTGACTTACCATCGGCTTGAAGGTGACCAGCACCTCGCAGGACATCCCGGCGGACAAGGGGCCAGGAGGGTCAAAGCTGAGGGCACAATGGGCAGGGTCACTATAGGGTGGACACCGGCCACGCACACCTAGCTGGGCCCCAGGTTCCCTCCATGCTGCTGTTCTCGGGCACAGTGTCCTGATGCCCGGGCTGTGTACCGTGCCACCCCCATTGCCCAGCAGCAGGAGACACTTGGTGATGCTGGGCCTCTCCTGGGACCTGCACCGGGCCTGGGACCAAGGATGTCGGACTCTAATACCAAAGCTCGGGGGAGAGGGGACCAGAAAAAGAGGCCCGGATGTGGGGGACTGAAGGCAGCGTCTGTCCAATCTGGGCCCTGGCTGAGAGACAGAGAGTGCCCAAGAATCCCTTAGCCCTGATCTCCTTTCACTATGCTGGAAGTTACCAGAGCTGCTTGCTTTCAAACTGCACAAACTAAATCCTCACGTAATATAAAACGTGCCCTGGCAGTCTCCCCATGAACCAGGTGGAAGGGAATCCAAAACTGCACGCCTGTAATCCCAGCACTGGGGAGGCTGAGGCAGGAGGATTGGCATGAGTTAGTTCAAGGCCAGCCTGGGCTGCCCAGTGAGCTCAAAGCCAGCCTGAAGTAAACAGTGAGACTCTCTCAAAAATGAAACAAAACAAAATGCCACACTTTTCTGACTGGGAGGGAGCACTCTGGTGGCAGAGTACACAGAACGCGGCAGGACGGAGCCTGGCGGGGTAGAGGGTCGGGATCCGAGGCCTTGGGAGCGCAGGACCAGATGCTCACGCACAGAGCCGCCGAGCCAGGCCTCTCAGAGATGTGAAGTTGAAAGAGTCACGGACATAAACAGAGAATTACAGACACGAGAAAGGAATGAGACGATGTCAAGAAACGCTAGCTCATCTGAAAAAGGACGTGGAATTTTTGGAAATGGAAAACAGAACCCGGAGAAGACGCGGCGTCAGCAGCTTTGACAGCCGGTCAGACACAGCTGGAGAGGTGGGCGGTGCTCGGCTGGTGACACCTTGCAGGGCTCCAGGGATGGGGAGGAGCGGGTGGCCAGGGCTGGGCAGGCTGGGAACTGACCAGGGCTGAGTCAGGAAGCACCATGCCTCGGAGAAAAGGGGGGCCAGGCTCTGGGAGGGCACCTGTGCTGGGAACAGATGGGGTCTGGGGTCCTGACTGGCTGGGGTGGGCACTGGAGGCTGGGGGTCCCACCCGCACTCACTCCACGCGGATGAAGTCCTGCAGGTGCTGCTCCACGCCCACCAGCTTGCAGTAGTTGAGTGTGTAGGTGGCATTGATCAGGGTGATTTTCTTCTTGTACACTTTGCCGACATCAAAGTCCTAGAGGATTGGGGGAGACCTCAGCACCCCAAGCCTGTGGCAGCCGTGGATATCACACAGGAAGGATTCCTGGTCTCTTACCTTGTGACTGGCCCCCGGGGCTGCCTGAGGAGCAGGCGGGGTCACAGGCCATCAGCAGGGGGAGATAGCAGGGACCAGCAAGGACCCGTCTCACCCTTGGGGCGACTTGGCCACCTCACGGGAGGCAAAAATTGCTGCTTCCTTTCCCAGCCTCCCCGGGCTTCTGCTGAGCCACTGGGGAGGCCCTGTTAGCCAGGCCTGAGGTACTGCCATTCCCCCATCAGAGTGAAGGGCACAGTGGGGGGGGCCTAGACCCACCTTGAAGTGGACACACTCGGGCTTGCTGTTGAAGGGGCGGCCCTTGAACTCCCGGCCGGACGCCACCTGCTTGTGGACCACCCTGCTGCGAAGCTGCTCCAGCCTGCGGGCCAGGATGTCCTTGTCCATCTTTGTCCCGCCCACGGGCTTCCGGTCCACATCCTCCTTGGGCCCCTGAGGTTCACAGAGACAGAGGCCAGCACTGCCCCAAGTGCTGGTGGCCACTTGTGGGGTCTGGAGCCACGGCGGCTCCCAGGCCAGACAGCGCCTCTGCACAATGCCTCAGACAGAGAATGGAGAGGAAGCAAAGCCGAAATGTGCAGGAGGCAAGGCCGTCCCGGAAAGGACAGTAGTGGGGAATCTTCCAGAGCACCAAGTCAGGGAGACAGTTTTTGAAAAGTCTGGCGGGAAGCAGCTTCTCCAGTGGCATCACTGCAGATGGAGCTCTGGCTAGGGGGAACCAGGTGCCCAGGCAGGCCCGCACCCTGTCCTGTGGTGCCATGGGAAGTCTGCTTGGGCTTGACCTGTGGTGCTCAGGACTCTAGGGGTGGGAGGCTGCCTGTTGCCTGCCCATCTGTACCTACCTCTCCCCGAGGGACCAGGGTGGGGAGAGTTGGCCTGGCCTGTCCCTTCTGCATCCCCAGAACCAGCAGAACCAAAGGGTATTGCCCTGACAGCCACAGTAACTGATGTTTACAGAAGCTGAAGGGCGGGTGACGCCCTCTGGAGGGAGCCCAGGACCCTGTGCTGGGTGGACACGAGTGCTGAATGGCCACCAAGGGGTGCTAAGCTCAGCCTTCTCTAGCAGTGCTTTCTGGATGGTGCACACATGGGTGACACTGGGTCCTCCTGTCCCTACCTCCAGTGCTGCACATGAAACTGACTGTGGAGGCCTGGTGGCGGAGCCGGGCAAGGGCTGTGCGTGCAGGACTGTTGAGGGCTTGAGAGGGCGAGGGCAGGACAGAAGGCAGTGCTCACCTGGGACTGCCCGAGATCCTCACTCCACAGCCCGGGGATCTCTGGCTTGGCCAGCGTCTCCTCCTCTGGGCTGGTGGTCCCAGGAGCCATCTGCATGGATTCACTGGAGACTTTGAATAGCAGCAGGGACATGGGGTCTATCGCTGCCTTGCTGTCCTGCAGAAGAGAGGAGCAGGAGGCTGTGCGCATGGAAACATGGCGCCCGGGTACAGGAAGAGGCACCTTGATCCCCAGGAGCTGGGCCACAGTGACCCTGCGTCTCTGGCTCCTCTGCGCTGCACTGGGATGAGGCCCCGCATGCACCCGGAACGTTCGACACTTCTTAAAATAGAAGGCGCTCATTTGCGTGGGCTGCTGGAGGGTTTCTGCAAGCTCAGCAGAGTGCACAGATGCCCCAGATGGCGAGTCATAGTGACGGGGGTATTCTGGCCGGAGGAGGCGCTGTCCCCTCCCCACCTGGTCCTTATCCCAGGCTGCTGTGAGCTAAGCTGAGAGGGCTGTGCGATAGCACCCCAGGGAGAGCTTGGGGCTCAGGTGAGCGAGGGCCTATCCTCCTGGGGCATCACCTTACAGACGGAGGCCCCGAACCCAGGACAGATAGCAGTTGCAGTGGAGGGATGGGTGGGGGGCAGGCACTGGGTGGCTGGAAGGCTTCTGGGGGAAGAGGACAAGGGAGGGGGTTGGGACCCCTGGGTAGAGTCGCCCCTCTCAGGGTTGCAGAGGACGTTCACGGTACGTTCAAGGGAAACACCCTGGGCTGTGTGGCCTCCTCTGCCCCTCCTGGAAACACTGCTCTACTCACCAGTGAGTGTCCTGCAGCTGTGGGGGATGCCTTCCCTTCACAGAAAGTGGATATGTAGCTCCAGGTCCGGTCCCGCAGCGTCCGCAGTGCAGCGGCCTTGGCGGGGGGCCTCTGTCTCTTCCTGTGGCTTCGCTCCTGGGCCTCCTCCTTCAGGATCCGACTCACGATCTCCTGCTTCCGCAGCTTCTGCTCCTCCTCGAAGGCCCTACAGGAGGCACTGCTCAGAGAAGGGCGCGTGGGGGGCGGGGACTCTGCCACACCTCAGTGCCACCCAGTGCCAGGCCCAGGCCAGGCACCACCCCATGAGGATCCAGAGGCCACACCTGGCTGACCCTCAGCAGTGCCAGCCAGGGTCAGGACCCCCAGGAAGAAGGTGCTGGGCACTGTGTGAACCTGAGGAGGGAAGACTGGCCTCCCTAGGACCCTGACTCAGGGAACCCTGGGGGACAGCAGAGAGCAGCATGGGGGGAACACAGTGGCTGCCCGAGGGGGAGGAGGCCGAGAACAGAATCCCACCCGAGCCATACCCAGGCCCTGGGGGAGAGGAATACGGGGTCTGCTCCTGGGGGTCTGCAGTTGGGGGCAGAGCACAGAGGAAGGGTCCTGGCAGGAGTGAGGGGCCCCGGTCAGGTAGGTCACGGCCAAGCTTGAGCAGCACACAGAGTAGGGCTAGGAAGGACTGGGAGCCTCCTTCCTGGCCATGGTCACTGGATCCCACTGCCCGCACCGCCTCTGCGCCTCCAGCTCCTGGCGCCTGCGCTGGTGGACAAGGTGCTTGAAGGCGTCCTGGCCCTGGGCCAGGACCTCCTGCTGCTCAGTCTGGGCCTGCTGCTCCGTCTGCTCTGCCCTGGCCCGATCCCAGGCCTGAAACTTCCGCAGCATCTCCTGCAAAGGGGCCATGCTGCAGCCTGATGTCTGCCCAGACCAGCACACATGCACATCCATTTACATGCTTGCACACACACACACACACACATGCACATACACACTGACATCTCCCCAAACTGCACAGGGCTTCCTGGCTTTCCCTCCAGGTGCCCAGTCCTGGGTGTGCAGCCCTGGCCTGGACCTTCAAGGTGCTCTCTCCCATGGTCCCCATACCACCTACAAGGCCAGACCTCAACCTGGCCCTGGGTACTGGGTTCCTGGGAGTCCCTATTGTTCTCTGGACTGAGCCCTGAGTGTGGGCCAGGCAGGAAGCCATGGTGCCAGCCCAGTGACTGCAGGGCCCAGGCCACAACAGGGCCTGGGGACATGACCGGCTCTGGCTGCTCCTACCCGGTTGGCGGTGATGCTGTTCTTCAGCGCCAGCACAGCCGCCATGCGTTGTTGCAGGTGCTCTCGGGACTCCAGCTCCGCCTTTTGCTCCCGCTCCCGAACCCTGGGGAAGGACACACCTTCAACGGGGATAGCAGGGCAGGACAGCAGGACGGTGGGCGGCAGGAAGAGGACCTGGCTGCCTTCTCCCTCCTGGGGCCCATTGTGATTTGCAGCCTTTTCCCAAAGGCTAACAGCAGCTCAGAACTAAAATGGCATTTTAGCTGGGTTCTGATGACATTGTGCTGGGCTCTCAGCAGAGTTAGGGACTTCAGACGACTTGGAGGGCCCACACCCTCAGATCCCTTGGGGCCAGGACCGGAAGTGAGGTCCTGAACAGAACCCACCGGCCCAGGGAGGCCTTCAGGAACTTCACCGCCACACGGTGGTTCTTCTGGGCATCTTCCACCAGCTTCTGGTGCCTGAGCCCCAGCTCCCTCTGCGTGCGCATGGATTTCCTGCAGTAACACAGGAGGGGACGGGGCTCCTGCAGCAGCCGCTCCCTGCGAAGGCTCCGCAGGCCGGGAGCCTCCAGGAGCAGCAGGCAGGGCTGTCCCTGCAGGTGACACAGAGGAAATGGGTGTCCCAGGCTTGGAGCCCCAGCAAGTGGGACTGTGACAGGGGACAGGGCCAGTGCACACAGGGTGATGAGGACCAGGAGGAGCGGGCAAGAAGGGGCAGACAGCGGGCTGGGTTGGGATGCCATCGGGGGCAGGGGTAGCCTGCAGCAGCTGGATGGAGGTGACAGGGGACAAGCCTGGTTCAGGGCCATGGGGACTGGAGGGACTCCCCGAGGGAGCACTCAGGATGCTGGGGACCAAGCCTGCATGCCAGGGCTCCAGGAGGGCCCAGGAACAGCCAGTGTGGGTGAAGCCGGACCAGCCCCTGGGGAGCTATGGTTTGGCAACACTGGCCTTGGTGACTGTGGCCTCTCAGAGAGCCTGGGCAGAGCCTGGCTGGGTGCCTAGGAGTCAGCCAGGATGCAGGGACTGCCTGGGGCCACTCACCGAATCCGAAGCCGCTGGTTCCTCTCCGCCTTCCCTGAGGCTTCCTCCTCCCTGTGGAGCTGCTGGGCCGCGTGTACCTGGAGGCACTGGTCCCTGGCCTCTGCCTCCTCATGGTTAGATTTCCAGATGTTCTCCAGCTGCCCCTTCTTGATCTCAAGGTGCCACATGGCGCTCCTTGGAGACAGGAGGTGTTCATTGGAGACTGGACAGTCTCTGTGGGGCAGTCTTCCTGTCTGGGCAGCCCCCTGGACAGCAGGGGATGCTGGACACCCCCATGATAGGTCAGATCCTGCCAGGCAGCCTCTATTCAATGTGTGTCACTTGAGAAAGTCCAGGCTGCAGCCCATTGCTACCCTTCCTGCACGCCTAGAGCTGGGACAGCTGACCACCGGAGGCCCCACTTGGCCTGAGAGAAGCATCCTGGAAGGTGATTGGGACTGTCTTCTGCAGGCCTGGGGTCCTGCCAGTCCTCAGAGGAGCTTGGTCTGGCCTCAGAGCCTGGCTGTGGCCCTAACACTAGCTGGACGTCAGGGGACCTGCCTGGCTTCTGTTCTCGGGAAATCTGTCCTGGGCAATGGTGACACACACAGCGCCCTTTGGGCTGCTGGCACAGAAAGCTCCCAGGCTGTCTCCAGCTGGGAGGCCCAGGGAGAACCAGGACCCTGTCCTGAGCTGCAGCAGCAGCCGCTTCTGTGGTCATTGGTAAGGGTTCCCTGGACAGTGGCAGCGGGGTGACTGCACACCCCACACCGCTCTGGCTCTCCGAGGGGCAGGACGGAAGCGGTTGTCTGCACAATGCCTCACTCGCCAGGTAAAGCAAATCCTCCCACTCCGCCAGTTTGAGGTTCTCTGCATCACGTCAGGAAAATCTCCTTCCGCTCCTGCGCTGGTGATAGTACTTCCGGAAAACCATGACCACGGAGCCAAGGCTGCTCCTTCATCCCTGGGGTAAGACCTGCCTGTGGCCGCCACTGCTCCGCAGTGCAGGGGATGCAGCCCAGGCCCTTCACACTGAGCTTCATCCCAGCCTTTTTTTAGGGGTACCAGGAGTCAAACTCAGGGCCTTGAGTGTGCCAGGCAGCACTGTGCCACCGAGCTCTATGCCTGGCTCAACCCCTAGGCTTCTTTACCTTTTCTTGTGAGACATGATCATGCCAAATCCTTAAGTTACCCAGGCTGTACTAGAATTTAGATGCTCCTGCCTCAGCCTCTGGGTCCCGGGGTTGCAGGTGTGCACTGCCATGCCTAGCTCACAGCCCCCTTGACTGTGCCCAGTTTTCCCCGCAAGGTGGACAGTGCGTGCTGCGGATTCCCGGACGGCTCCTGGGTCCTGGGAGATGAGTCCCAGACAACATGTGGCTGGAGCCATTGTCCTGCTTCACCCAGGATTTTCTGTCTCTTTCCTTGGGGAGCTTGGTTTATGCTCCCCTTCCCCACACTGGCCTCTTGGTCCTGGCAATTGAGGTTTCACGGCTCTGTGTGCAGAGCTGCTGTCGTCTTCGCTGAGTAACGTGAAGCCCTCGATCTCCCTGTGTTGAGCGGGGCTGCTTCTCTTCTCCACGACCCGTTCTCCCTGACAGTGCCCCCATGCCAACCTGGCCTGACAGCACCTTGGTTCACAATGCTCAGGGACTGCCGTCCTCCACCCTGAGCTTCCGGTGACTACAGAGAACCAGCCATTTGGGAGATGCTGCTTCTCCCCATGTTGTGTTCTCAGTGTGCGGGGTCCCTTGTGCCACAGGGAGGGTACTGTGACTCTGGCAAATGTGTTCCTCAAGTTCTGAACTCCCCAGGTCCATGTCAGAGGCTCTGGCAGGTTCCAGGTCTGTGATGACCTGTCTCACATGGCACTGTCCAGCTGTCCTCACAGGTGCACAGAATGGGAGACCTGGCTGACCAAGCCATTTCCTGGAGGCACTGATCCCCACTGGGCACAACACCTCCCAGACCTGCACGACCTCTGCCTTCTGCCTCAGGGCCAAGGTCCCCATGTGGACTCTGGAAGGATGCATGCTTCCATGGGCAGTGGAGATAGCCAGAGGCTTAGCCCTGGCCCGGCTGAACATTCCCAGCTGCCCACTAGGATAAGGCTGGTCCCCAGGACCCCACCAGCCTGGCAATACCTCTCAGGGTACCAATCCCTCCTCTACACCCTGAGCCAAGGGGTCCAGCTCAGTGCAATCTGGTACCACCCCAAGGCATGGGGCTGTTGTGCCTCAGCAGAGCTGGGCATGTGGGGGAAGACTTTACAAAGCCAGGCTTTCAAAGCCTTTCTTTCATGGTATGGTACTGGGGACTGAACCAAGCCCTCTTTTATTTATTTTATTTTTTATTTTGCAACAGGGTCCCACTAAACCTCTAAGTTACCCTGGCAGGACTCAAACTTGGGAACCTTTTGCATCAGCCTCCTGGAGTGCTGGGAACACAGGCATGTACCCCCTCCTCCAGCCAGTTTCTTAATTTCGGAAGCTCTGGCAGAGATTTTTATCAAGAGCTGGGGATTCCTGGCACACTGCACGGGCTCTGGTGCAGGTGGTCACTGGGCAGCTCTGCGTTGTGACTGGTATGGGCAGTGTCTTGCCTTAGCCCACCCACGGCGACCCCCAAACAACCTCGCCCTGGTCCCAGACCCCATACTGGGGCCCTGTTGGCACTAGCCTGCAGCTGAGCCAGGTGGCTTTTAGAGAGCCTGCCTAGCCTGATGAAACCAGCCTTAAACTGACAGTTACAAACTCCACACCTTGCCTTGTCCTGGCCCAGGGAACGGTGACAACTCTACTGCCACTGGGTGAGTTGTGAACCTGATGCCCTTGTGTGGCCCTTGTCCTGGACAGGGTGCTGCAGGCACTGGGGCTACCAGGCCAAGCGGCCTGGCGTCTGGACTGTGGAGACATCTGCAGTCATGGAAGAGAAGGCTGCGCTCTGCCTCATCTTAGTGTGGCTGTGAATCATCCTATGGTCAGGGGTCAGCTTCCCTAGCACGGCAGGTGACACAACCAGTCTGTCCTTCCCAGCATTCTCATCAGGATGGCTTTCCTCGAGGTGGACTGTCTACATCCAGGGATGTGGAGAGGTGGCCTTTAGGGTCTTTTGAGGCTGCTGTGGAGGATCATCTGCGGTGACAGCTCAGAGGGACAATGTCACGGTGGGGGTGAGGTTGAGTGGCCAGGCTGAGCCAGCTGGTGTGGACCAATGGACAGAGCTGAGATACCAGCAGCTCCTCAGGTTGGCAGAGGAAGAGACCTAACAGCTGTGCGTGGCAGGGCCCTGTGTGTGTGGGGTGCTGCCCGTGGGGTGGCCAGGCCCTCCGAGTGGCCTGGTCCTCTGTACCTGCCCAGGAGGAGGTGGCCTGGCTGAAGGGGCTGGGGCAGCTCATGGATCTGGGGGTCCTGAGGACCAAGACAGATGGGGACCACAGAGGTCCCCTTCACCTGTACTGCGTGTATAGTGAGAGCCGCAGCGATGATGACACTGGCCGTGGGGAGCAGGAAGGACTGAGCCAGGCCTGGGGCTGAGTGCAGCCTGTGACTCTGCCAGAGACCTCGAGAAGTAACAGCCTGGGCGTGCTGAGCCCAGGGCTGACAGGGGCTGTGTGGGCCTTGAGCTTCAGGGCAGCACTGAAGATGGACAGGTAAAGGCCTGGCCCGAGGGCCTCATGGGCAGCAGCCGGTGGCCGGCAGCTTGGGGACAGGATCCAGGGACAGTGTGAGCGAATCAGAGTGCCAGGACCGCGCTTGCCACGAGGCTCCTCTGACTGCTAGCATGAACCAGGGCCAGAGTGTGTGGATGGGAGCCTCGACACCCACTGCCAAGCCTCCCTGGGACCTGGTGGGGGGCTCAACCCAGACCCTGTCTGCCAGGCCATGGGCCAGTTAAAACAGGACCCAGACCTGGCTGTGGGTCTCTGGAGCCGCACCCTGCCTATCTCCTCCCAGGTCAGCGCTGACCAGCGATGCATGTGGTAAGGAAGCACAGGGAGCAGGAAAGGGAAAAGGACAGAGGCAGAAATTGAAACCCCGGCGGGGAGCGGAAACCATGGGACCTGCAGCTCCTGACCTCACTGGGTGTGGGCCCGGCTCCGGGCTGCCTCAGGGACCACGCGGCTAGGACGCCTGAGCCCAGCCCTGCCCGGTGCCCCTGCCACACACTCACTCGCTCTGCTGCAGCTCGGCTGCAATGCTCCACTGCAGGTTGCGCTCGCCTTCCAGCTCCAGCTGCAGGCGTCGGGATGCGGCCTGCAGACGGCCCACGGCTGCCCTGGTAGAGCGGCAGCGGGGAGGCGGTCATAGGTTGGCCCTGGAGGAGGCGGGGCTACCTCGGCCTTGCTGGCCTGACACACAGCCCTCTTTTCCCCTGGAGTCTGGAAGCTGAATTCCTAGTTCCTGGGCCCTGCCAGCCTTGCCCAGGAGGGACCAGGGGCCCCAGAGCACCACCATCCTGCTGACCTGAGCCCCGCCTGACCCTGCCTCCCTCCCGGGCCTCAGCACCCCTTCACCAGAGCCCGTGACTCCCTGAGCTCATGACTTTGGGCCAGGGTAGGCAGGTGCTGGGGTCCCTGTGTGGAAGACCTTGGGTGGGGCCTTGTGCACAGAGGGCATGAGGGATCCTGACCAGAGGGCAGGCCACGTGGACGCTGCAGGGCAGGTCCGCTGTGTGTATATGGGGCCCAGAAGCGGGTTCTGAGCCACTGATCAGGCCTAGGATCCTCTGCACCCTAGTCCCAGGCAGATTTAATGCCCCATGGAGAGGCCTGGCCGGGTGCGTCCGTCCTGGGGGACACCAGACCTCGGTTGGCCGGAGTTCTCTGTCCACACCCAGGTGTGGCCACCACTCCTGTCGGTTGTGCCCCTGCCTCCCAGCCTGCAGGTGCCTACATGTTGCTGGACTCTCTCTCCCGGGCGACCTCGGCGGCTACGTTCGCCTGCTGCTTGCTCAGGAGGTCCATCCTGTGGCGACAGGCACACAGCTCCCCCCTACAGTGAGAATTGACCCGAGACCCTGAGGCCCCAGCGCCAGCAAGCAGGCAGCGAGGTGGGGAGGGGTCCAGCCTGGCTCCCCACCCACCAGGAAAGGGCCATGGGCATGTCATCCTCATGGGGTCCCTGCCACGGAGTGACATGAGCAGGGATCATCTGTCCATTTCTGGAAAAGTCACTGAGGCCACCCACCTGAAGGTGACATCACAGTGCCTGAGGTCAATATGGGGATCAGGGGACCCCTGGATCGACACAGGCCAGGCCTGCTGGGTGCTTGGCCCGGGCAGGCCCTCATCCCATTCTGGGGCTCCCCTGGGGCGAGGGCAGCAGCTCTGCTGGGGCCTGAGGGTGGGGGTGAGGAGCCGTGGGCTCTGGGGCAGTGCGGCTCACCTGGACTTCTGGAGGAAGAGGTCATTCTCCTCGTGCACCCTGGCCAGGAGGTCCAGGCTCCTGCGCAGCTGGGACGCCCACACTCTATCTCTGGCCGCGGTTGGCGCCTTCACTCTCTTGGCATCGCTGCCTCTTTCCTCCCCGGGGCTTGGAATGAAAGGGACAGTGGCTGCTGCCCGCCTCACCCACAGCTCGCAGGACGAGGGCTCCTCTGCATCCACGGCTCCAGGTCCTACTCAGGAGCTGCACTGGGAGGTGGGAGTGGCTCCCTGCCCCACCCCAAGAATTACCAAGAGTGGACGGGGGTAGCGGCGTTCTCCAGTCCCAGAGGACCACATTTCACCTCGAACTCAGGATCCTCTAATTGATCTGCTTCTAGAAATCAAGGCAGGGAAGGAGAGTTTAAAAAAAAAAAGACAAACGAAAAAACAGCTGGGGGTGGTGGTGCCTGCTTGTGGTCCTAGCTTTCAGGAGGCTGAGGCAGGAGGATTGCCATGTGCTCAAGGTCAGCCTGGAGTGTATGGTGACAGCCTGTCTCAAAAACAAACAACTGACAACCAAAAAACTCCCCCAAAACAAAAAAAGATCCCCCCCCCAAGTAAGCAGCAGATCAAGCATTCAAGTCTCAAACTAGAAGAGCAGAGAGGTTCTCAAAGCAAGACTCAGTGGGGACCTCCAGGCTAAGCCACGTTCTCTGTTGCCCTGACACAGCTCAGCCTTTCCTGTTGCTTCCTGTGCAGCTACGGGAGTTGCTGCAGGCCTCTGGGAGAGGCAGGCGCCTGGTGAACTAGACTCGGTTACCAATAACTGTTCATCATTGCAGTTGTGCATTAGTAAATTACTGAAGTCCTTTCAGCTTTGCTCTTGCACACAGTAAACGTGGAAAGAGAGAACCAACAGACTGAAAACCTCTGCGTCTCCAGCAATGTTTAAGCCATGCAGGGTGCTCCACACAGATGATCCCAGCACTCTGAGAGGCTGAGAAAGGAGGACCCAGCCGGGCAGCTGATCAATTCATCAGTGAAACCCTGTCTCAAAATAAACAAGTGAAAAGGGTCAGCAAAGTCTCTGGGTTCAATTCCCAGTACTGGGGGAAAAACGTGGAGCGGCTCTCAAGAATCCTTGACCCAGGAAGTCACCACAGACTTGCAGCCAAACATGGCAAGGTGAGTGAGCTGCAGGGTCTACCGCCACACGGCCATTCCATCTCTATAAAAAAACTGAAAAGGAATTTTAGAAGGCATGGAGCCAGCACCACGGGGCAGGGGAGGAGGAGGACAGTGCGTGGCAGAGGGCCACACCAACACAGGCCCCGCCGGGCCTGGCACCAGCATCCCCAGAACCCAAAACCACTTGGGCCAGAACCCACCGCCCTTGCTGGAACACTGCCCAGGGCCCAGTCTGGGACCCAAGCCAAGGATATCTCCAAAGGAGTTCAGGTTGTCAGAAGTTTTAAGAAAATCTTGACCCTTCCAGAAGTAAAAAGTAAAAACAGGTCAAATTCAAAGGATCAAAACGGTCCCCAACTAGTCAATAGTGATGCCAGAACTAGAAAACCATGGCGCCTCCTTCAAAATTCTCAGCCATCATTTATGCCTCTTTCTGGTAAAGGACAATAATATCAGCTCCCTCAGTATGGAAAAACACAAATTTAATAGACGCAGTCTCCCTGCAATAAAGAGAATCAAGGAGCAACCCTGGGCCCATGGTGTTGTCCTTGGTGTTGGAGAGGAGACGGCGGTCTCTACTACCATCCTCCACGGTGCTGCCCATGAGCTCCTTGCTGGGGAACAGGCCAGCGTCTTCTTCCATCCTGGGAGATAGAAGTTAGCTGCAAAGAAATTGTTACAAAATGTGGATTAGGAAGGAAAACCAAAAACTTTGGATTTTATGAGATTCACGATGTCTCATTATAAAAACACTAAGAAAATGGATAAGCCACCTACTAGGAAAAAATGACTTGTAGTACAGGTATCTGACACAGAGCTTATATCCAGAACATAGAAAGAGCTCCTAAATGTCAACAATATAACCTACAAATTTAAAGTCAAAAGATTTAGAACAGATGTGAAGATACAGAGATGGTGTTATGGTCTGTGTCTGGATAGCCCCCCAAGCCCTCATGCAGTCACAGAGAGAGCTGAGTCTAGCATTTGTGATTGGTTCATTGTCTAGCCCTGGGATTGGCAGTGTGAATGCTGCACCCATCCAGAGGCAGAGCCGGCACACACTATAAGGGAGGGAAGGAGGTACGTTTCCCCTTTTTCCCTTTTCGCTCCTGTCACCTTTGGTACCTGCCACTACCCGGAGTGGCTGCTCTTCTGCCATGCCGCACTGCCTCGGAGCCAGCTGAGTATGCACAGAAGCGTCCACAAACTGTGAGCTAAACAAATCTTCCTTCCTTCATTTTGGGTGTCAGCTACTCTAACCCTACCCCAACACAGACGGTCAATAAGCAGGTGACACTTTCTGCAACACTGACAGCCATCAGGAAAATGCAAATTAAAATCACTGTGAGAGGTCACTGTACAGGCACGAGAACACCTGAAATAAAAAACATTGACAACATGGACTGTGGCAGGCAGGGTCTTGGGGACTGGTACTTTATGCCCTGCTGGCAGGTGGGAGGCAGGACTTGGCTTCTGCCAGACAACTTTTTCCAAATGCATCCCAAAGCCTGGCTAGCAGTCCAGGCATTTGTAATATTTCTTCTTTGCTATGGCATGTCCATAGCAAAATGCACACAGGAATATTCGTAGCACCCTATTCCTACTGGCGCCATCTTGGGAACAAAGCACATGTCTGTCAATACGAGAACGAGGAACAAGCTGCTGGCCATCGCACCTAGGATGCACATGGCAAGGATGTGTGAAGCTCACAGCCCCAGCAGCCCCATGGAGGAGGCCAGACAAGCAGGCCAAGGTAGGCAAGACCACAGGGGACAGGGACCTGAGGGGGCAATGCAGCGGGAGAGGAGGAGCTGTGGGGGCCCAGGGGGTGGAGGGAAGGGCTGCAGTGGTTACGCAGGTGGATGAAACTGCTGAGGATGGACACTTAAGATTGGGGCATCTCGTCTGAATGGACCGCAACAGAACACGCACAGTGCTGAGGTTCAGAATACTCATCACACCTGGGCTATCCCTTAGGAAGGCTGGGAGTTTGCTGGTGTGGACTCATGGTACAGAATTTTATAGGACCGCGTGTGGACATTAAGACTTTCCCTCACGAAAAAGTGTTAAACGGGTCATGGTACCTTCGTAAGCAACTTTTCTTTCTTCTGTTTTTTTCCCTCTTTTCTTTCTTTCTTTCTTTCTTTCTTTCTTTCTTTCTTTCTGTTTTTTGATTTTTGAGATGGGGTCTCACTATGTAGCCCAGGCCACCCTTGAATTTTGGTGATCCTTCTGCCTCAGCTTCCTGAGTGCTGGGATTACAGGCTTGCGTCACCATGCCCAGATCTACTGTATTTTAAATATGTGATTGGTTTCAAGGCTTACTGATTACAATACCTAACATCATGGCTCATAATGAAAAAGGAGAGGTTACATGCTTATAAGTCAGCACTCCTGTTACACAAACAGACGTCCGACACCGGGAATGACCCTGCCACAGCACAGTAAGAAGGAGCCACACTGAGTGGACACCAGTGTTGCTATGCACGCGAATTAAAATTGTGGAGGTATTTTTCATTGTTTAATTTAGCACCTGACTTAGAATGATTCACTGAAAATATTCTCAATATCTAATAATGTGTCTTAGATAAATTATTAATAAATCAATACCAGTAATTTTTTTGTCTTTTTTTTTTGAGATAAGGTCTCTCTTTGCAGTTCAGGCTGGCCTTGGGCTCACTCTGTAGCCCAAGCTGGTCTTGAACTCGCAACAGTCCTCTTGGCTCAGCCTCCCGAGTACTGGGATTACAGGCATGAGCCACCATGCCTGGCAGTAATTTGTATTTTAAAGAAAAAACCTGAGCATCAAAGTCCCCTGAGTGGGTTTGTGGGGAGGAGGCTTCTGGAAGAGACTCGTGGGAAAGTAGGAAGCAAGTTTGGAGGCTTTGACTTTACTGATTAGTATTTTTTTTTTTTTTACTGGGACCAGGGATCGAACTCACAACCACGTGCTTGCAAAGCAGGTACTTATGCTGCTGAGCTAAATCCCCAGCCTGTCTTTACTGATTAGAAGGAAGGAAGGAAGATGTTGATGCTGAGTGTTTCATAAAGAAGAGGAGCAGGTAGGCAGGGAATTTCATGATTTGATATCCAAGGATCCAGCCAGAGCTGAAGTTTGGAAAAATCCCCCAAATTTGGCTGCAGAAGCAGGAGGCCAGAGAATTCTGCTGCTCGCTGGCCGCAAGCTGACCTTTGCGAATGGGCAGACTTGCTTAGAGGGGACGCAGTGTCGGAAGCAATGAACGAGTCCTTGAGCGTAGAAGCCTGTTTCCTGGAGACTCACTTCCACCCTCAGGTCCTGACTGATGGTGCCCACTGCCTTTGTCTGGTCCAGAGCTGGCCACTCAAACTATGAGTTGGTGACTGTGACAGGCCACACAGCAGGGCTCCACCAACCCTAAAATGAAGCATGGGGTCCACCAGGTCCATCTGGGAGGACCATGGCCTCCCTCGCCCTCTGCTGATGACGGGGTGGTTCTGGCTCTGTTACACCTGTTCCATTTGCCGAGTCTGCTCACTACCTTAGGAGTCCGACAGCTGGAGGGTGCACCCCCCAATTAGCCCTCTTATTTCTAGTGACTTCTAACCAAAGCACACCGTTCCTAAAGAGTTAAAGAAGGGTACATGGCCACCCACCATTCTTTGATTTTCTACTTGTTCCCTGCCACAAGCTTCCTTTGAGCCAGGAAAAGCAAGGAGAATGGGTGTCCCTGCTGGTCCTGTAAGGTCTGCAGAAGGTACTTGTGAACAGGACAGCTGTGGCAGGACAGGTGTGAATGCCCAGTGCCATGGTTGGACGTGAGCTGGAGGATGTTGCTGAGGCTCCAGAATAGCAGGAGATTTCTCCCGGAGTCCACACAGCGCTGCCCAGCTCCCAGCGGGCTTTGTGGGATCCAGGTGTCTTCCTCTCCCCCTCCAGCAGGGACGGAGAGATGGATGTCGTGTGCAGAGCAGTGGTGAGTGCTGGCATAGCCCCAGGTCCAGCGGTGGTGCTGAACTAGCTCTGTTTGCAGCATTTTTAACGGTGGGCTTTTTAAGTCTCATCACAAACACGCAGCGTCACGGTGGCAGCCCCAGCCCCTTGGGTGCCACCTCCAGGTAGCCTTCTTCACTCTGGTGAGGCTCTGGTCTCCTGGCATGCTTCTAGATAATAAGATCTGGGCTGTTTTGTTTTGTATTTGGTTTATATTTACATGCATCTTGTATTTCCTGGAAAACCAAATAAAGTTCTTGGCCAAAAAAAAAGTATGGGCCAGGGGTTTAGCTCAGCAGCATTAATTGCCTGCTTGGCAAACATGAAGTCATGAGTTCGATCCCCGGTGCCAAAAAAATAAAAACTAAAAGTCCCCAGAAGCAGCACCCTGAGGTGCTTTGTGAGCCCCAGGGTGCTCCCCACACATGGGAGCCGGTTAACCTGACCAGGGCAGTGTTTCCACGGCCAGCCCAGTACTCCGTTCCTGGTGGCCATCGTGACACAGCTACCCATGGACGCCCTGGGGCACAGGCCTGTCTGCCTGCCGAGCCCAGGGCAGGGATTAGGGCTGACACTCCCCGGTGCCTAGCTGCTGGAAGACCCACACAGAACACACCAGAAGGTTCTTTTCTCAGCACAGATCTGTCTGCAGGGACAAAGCAAAGCCTCTCTGAGCTGGTGACCCTCAAGGGACTGAGCACGGAGCAGGCATCAGGGTCTCCCTCGAGGAAACAGGTTCCAGAGCTGAGGCTCTGTACAGAGCACCAGACCCTCCTCGGGGCCACTACCTGGGTGACCAGCCAGAAGGCAAGGCAAGAACTTAACTTTTTATTTCTTAAAAAAATATGAAGAACTTCCCAGATGCCAGGAAACTGCCCAGTTAAAGTCCTAGCGAAGGCAAGAATATAAGCAGCTGAAATGGTCAAGCTCAAGGAAAAAAACAGTAACAAAAGCCAAATTCTCTACTATTTAAAAGAGACATGAAAACCTATGCGTACCCTGCATTGGATTTCTAGCCAGGAAGAGAAGCATCATTCAGAATGTGTAAATGGAGCTGGCAGTTACTCAGCAACAGACAACACACAGGGCGACCTGGGAAGGCTGTGCAGGGGCCACGTCCAGCCTGAGACCCTGCCCACAGCACCCACAGCATCCACAGTGAGCCACACAGCTGCACACACAGGTGGGCACACAGTGGCCCGGACGATGCATTCAGTATAGAAACCACATTAGCAGGGACCGCTCAGCCCTCAAGGGAAAAAGCATCAGTGAAACTGGGCTTTTTGGGCTGGGGATTTAGCTCAGTGGCGTAAGCACCTGCCTTATAAGCAGGCGGTCGTGAGTTTGATCCCTGGTACCGATAAAAAGGAAAAAGACAAAAAAAAAAACAAAAAACAAAACAAAACAAAACTGGGCTTTTTGTTTCTATTTTCATAAAACAGAAAACTCGCATTAGAGATGAGTGTCGTAATGAAGTGAGGACAGGAGACAGCAATCGGCAGCCTGCAGCAGCCCCCTGCAAGCTGCTGGGCAGGGGCCAGGGGACCCTGCACCCCACAGTCACTGCAATGGGCTCACTGCGCCAGGCGACAGGGCCTGAGCCCGCCACGGGGGATGGACAAGAAGTTGGGTCCATCACACAGCAGGTGCCACGCAGGCCTGAGGAAGTGCACAGGGGATGCGGCCAGC